AATATTGTGGTGCTGCTGATATCCTGTTGTGAAGGTTGGTCGTTTTGGTGGACTAGCCCGCTTGGTCTGGGTTTTCCGACTTTATCGATCGACCGAGAGGCAGAAAGGCCACCACTCAGCATCACGCACTAGGCTCCGCACGTGCATCCGCCGTGCAGCACCAAGCATTGCGGCGCTCCGGCAAGACATGGCTCGGGAGGCTTATCTTTGTTATTGCGGACTGTATAGCATGGCTGGATATCAGAAACGGTTATGAACATGCTTGCAATAGTAGGGCAATATGATCCCATGTGCACGAGATGACCAAAGACAACATGAAGCTGACCTGGAGCCACCACAAACAGCAGCAGACGATTGGTGGAAGAAAAGAAAACTGGGTCTACCCACACTACGTACTTACTGTCCCCGATAGCTACGGGAAGTGGAGTGTGGGGTCGGGAGGACTCTTAGAGATGATAGCGATGCAACCTCCGGGCGCAGGGTTGCCGGTGGAGCCACTTTACTACATAGCTTTTGGTCTTTGCTATAGAAAGGCTTTGCTCGCCCTTCTCAAAGTCAGGCAAGTCGGCAAACTCAACAACAGAATGCCGTCCGATTTCTTCAAAAACCGCAGGGTCTATCTGCTCACCGGCGTTGCCTACATGGGCTCGCTGCTCTTTGGTACGCGACCAGTTCTTGTTTAACTAGACATCATAGCTGATTCGCCACAGGATACGACACCGGGGTTATGGGTAGCGTTCTTGCGCTCAAATCTTTCAAACGGGACTTTGGATTGCCGACAGAGAAATCTGGCTTCGCTGACTCCAAGAACGCTGCGGTTTCGTCCAATGTAGTGTCGCTGTTAACAGCAGGATGCTTCTTTGGTGCCATAGGAGCAGCATGGCTCAACGAGCGTTTCGGCCGACGGTACTCCCTCATGGGCTTGTCTGTCATCTTTCTGATAGGTGCTGCGCTCCAGACCGCTGCTCATCATGAGATCGGTCTGATCTATGGTGGTCGCGTTATTGCTGGTCTCGGCATCGGTGGCATGTCTTCCATCACACCAGTCTTTGTTTCCGAGAGCGCACCTCCGGCTGTTCGTGGACGCATAGCAGGTCTATTCCAGGAGTTCCTCGTCATTGGCAGCACGTTTGCTTACTGGCTTGGATATGGTGTTAACTTACACATGCCGAGCGAAACCAAGCAATGGAGGGTTCCTGTTTCTATCCAGCTTATCCCTGGTGGCTTCATGCTTCTCGGTCTTTTCTTTCTGAAGGAATCTCCTCGTTGGTTGATGTCAAAGGGCCGACACGAAGAGGCTGTTGAGTCTCTTTGCTTCATTCGCTGCGATACGCCCGACAGCCCGGAGTTACAGCAGGAGCTTGCAGAGATCCGTGCTGCTGTTGAGGAAGAGCTCAACCAGACCGAAGGAATTACCTGGAAAGAGTGCCTTCTCCCTGGGAATAGATACCGGTTCATCACTGGTTTCGTTCTCATGTTTTGGCAACAGTTTAGCGGCACAAACTCGATTGGTAAGGCTTTCAATGTCTCAGAGAGTGGGAGAAAAATCAACTCACACCACCTAGGTTACTACGCGCCGCAAATCTTCCAGGCTATTGGCGTTTCTGCTTCTAATGCCTCCCTGTTCGCAACTGGTATCTACGGCACTGTTAAGGTCATCACTACGGGAATTTTCCTCCTCATCGGTATCGACTTCCTCGGCCGCAAGAAATCTCTCATGGCTGGCGCGGTATGGATGTCATCCATGATGTTCATCATCGGAGCAGTACTTGCAACTCACCCGCCCAATCCCTCATCTTCTACTGTCAGCTCGGCATCCATGGCCATGGCAGCCATGATCTACCTATACGTTATCGGTTACTCAGCTTCCTGGGGCCCAGTTCCATGGGTATATCTCTCTGAGATCTTTCCTACACGCCTCCGTTCCTATGGTGTCGGAATGGGCGCGGCAACTCAATGGCTCTTCAACTTTGTGATAACGAAAATCACGCCAGCAGCAGTCAACAGTATTGGATGGAGAACGTTCCTCATGTTTGGAATCTTCTGTCTTGCTATGAGTGTCTTTGCTACCTTCTTCATTAAGGAGACCAAGGGCAAGAGTCTGGAGGAAATTGATATTTTGTTTGGAGACGTGTCGGCCGAACAACGGAGGATGGACGTAGAAGCGGGTTTGAAAGAGGAACAGAGGAAACATTCGGTCACTTATGCGGAAACTGCCACTGAGCTTGGCAACCAGGCAGGTAAGAATTAAGGAATAACTGCTTGGGATAGTCGATAGTATCGAGAAATCAATGTCGGGCCGTTTAGACATTGTCTACTGAAGTTTCCATAGCAGCTTCTGTTGCCTTTAGAGACGACTCCTAGATGTTTTTTCCTTGTGCGAAGCAGCGCAACCGAAATCGCCTCAAGGACCACTGCTGTTATTGATAGTGTAATTTATACCAATATGTTAGACCAACCCCCTTCAGGTTAGCTTCGTATGTAGTCAGAAGAGAGTTGAACAGGCTTCCCTTTCCAATTAAAGAAACAGAAAAAACCAGTAGTCAGACATTAAAGTAGTTGCAGCAATATTTAGCTAAAATTTTATCCCCCCTTATTGTCTTTTTCTCGGCTTGGGTAGGTCGTCCTTTGTTTCACCAGGCGTTGTTCATAATGACTCATTTTGAGTAAATAACAGTAACTTAACTGCTTCTCAAGCTTCCAACTTGGGCATATAAAGTTCTCAGCCTTTTAGTTTAGATAGGTTCAAAATCAACCTTTTCATTCATTTTCGCAAATGTCATTGTACATCGCGCCAATATGATTATAGAATTTCTTTCCAACATCCGCATATGGATTGTCTTGATTATTCTAATCCTCACGTTTCTATTCCGTTCAAGACGTCGCTCAGTCTTTCCAGCCATTAACGATTTTCCACTCGATCCACTTTCCCAAAAAGCGCACAACGAGTATCGCACTAACGCCAAATCGCTGATCGCCAACGGTCTCGCAAAACACCAAGGCCCAGTCTCCCTCTCCGTCCCAAGTGGTCAGAAAATCGTTCTCCCAGCGTCGCTCACCGCTTGGGTGAAATCAAACAAAGATCTCGATCACAGGGAGCTCGTCATACAAGACTTCTATGCTGGATTGCCTGGATTCGAAGCACAGGATGCGTTGCATACGTCTGGAGATTTACTTCTCGATTTGATTCGCACGAAGCTGGGCCAGAACGATAGTATCATGCCAGTGGTGAATGGCAGTATAGCAAAAGCGTTGCAAATTCACTGGGGCGAGGACAAGGACTGGCATGTCATCGACTGGCAGAAAGACACAACGAGTATTATCGCACGCGCAGCGTCATCAGTATTTGTCGGTCCAGAGAAGTGCGAGGATGAAGAGTGGTTGAGTATCGCACAAGGCTACGTCGACGCGTACTTTACAGCTGTCAATGAGTTGCATCAGTATCCGGCCTGGTCGAGACGCATTGTGCAGAGGTTTCTCCCAAACGCCGTTGCTTGTCGGAAATACATGGCACAGGCTCGCGTTGTTGTCAAGGATCTGATTGAACAACGGGAAAAGAAAGTCGAGGAGGCGAAGCGCAAAGGCGATCCTCTCCCGCAATTCAACGATGCGGTGGCATGGGCACAAGCAGCACCAGGCCCCAAGGTAGACGCCGGCGACATACAATTGTCACTGGCAATGGCTGCGTTCTTCACCACGAGCGAACAGTTCCGCCAGGTCTTGATCGATGTTGCTTCGCACCCGGAGCTCATCGAGCCACTCAGGAAAGAAGTCTCGCAACAGATTTCTACCCACGGTATAACCGTCTCTGCGACAAACAACATGGTCCTGCTCGACAGCGTCCTGAAAGAGTCGCAGAGACTTTCCGCTTCCATAGGTATTTATACACCCTATCCAATTTCTCTCTTCTATCCATTCTAACACACTACCCAGTGGTTCTCGAGCGCGTAGCCCTCAAAGACATGACCCTCCCCACTGGCGAGAATCTCCCACGCGGTTCCCACATCATGGTCGACCGCGCCGATCTCCGGAGTCCCACCAAATACCCCAGCCCCGATCACTTCGACGGACACCGTTTCCTGCGCCAACGCAAGGCCGGCGATAAGTTCGCGCAATTTGCTCAATCAGGCCCGGACTACAATGTGTTTGGCGGTGGACGGCATATTTGCCCAGGACGCTATTTCGCTAGCAACGAATTGAAACTCGCCATGGCGCATATATTGCTGAAGTATGAGATTAGGTTGGTGAAGGGGTACCAGTCGAGTATGGTACAGATGGGCGTGTTTAAAGTGGTTGATCCGGCGGTTCAGTTTGAGGTGCGGAGGAGGGATGTTACAGAGATGGATTTGGATCAGTTGACTGTATCTTTGGCGTGAGTGATGAAGAGGAGGTTGAAGTCCTGGACTTTTGTTGTTGGATTTGTGTTTCTTTACTGGTGTAAATATCCCAGGGCTGACACTAATCTGGTATCGATATGGACTACTTCATTCCTGCAAACAGTTTTGAACGGGCCATTGCACCGACCTTTGATTTCCGGGGCTTATATGCCAGGTCGTCGACGACGAAATCTTCTTCCGAATTCTGTCCCTCGGAATCGTGGTCGAGATTTTGCGTGGCTCGTGAGACCGCCACCGTTTTGCGCTTGGCTTTGGTAATATGCGAGGCACTTGTCGTTGGAGAGGGCTTCTTCTCCTTACCTGACCTCCCGCTACTGGTTTGTTTAGAGCTTGGGGTCCTCCTCCTCTTCATGATCATGTTGTCCTTCTTATCGGCCAGAGGAAGACGCTTTTGGCCTTTGAACTGTATGTTGTTGTTGTCACTATAAGATATGGGTAGATTAATAGATTTCGATGAGCATCCAGGATCAGTGTTGCCACTGTCTTTCCGCTCAGTGTTCGTCTGGGTCCGCGGAACCACTTTTGTCGACCTTACAATATTTCTCTTGGGATTACTGGACTCAGAGGTGACTTTGTGACTATCGAGGGCTTCTCCCCTGGCCTCCTCTAGTATGGAAAGGAAATACGACATCGTGTTATAGAACAGGGTTCGTGTGGTTGTGAACGAAGATGTTGGGTCAAACGAGCTTGACGAGAAAAATGGAGAGGATTTGAGTTCAGGGGCATAATTACTTTGGAGGGCGGTGCCGAATACAGCTCTGAAGATAACAAAATTTCTGTAATCATGACGGACCAGTCACATTTCTTGTCTTTCAACCATCGAATGCTACGACGCATAGATGAAAGTTGCCCACACTTTGATCATTCCACCATTTCTGACCAACTAACAGGAAGAAGAAAAGTATACTCTCAGGACTCTGTTGAAGGGAAGAAATGGGATGAACCGTGAACTAGGTCGCAATGCCAGATGTTCAGGAGCGAGATGTAGATAAACTTTGGTTCGATCGGTCTACAACCCTGGTACAACAACACAGCTACTATTACTGTCCCCTGGTTAGCACAAAATTCCTTTGGTTAAACCTGATGTGCCCTCACATATCATATTCAGCAATCAGTAACAATCGCAACTTTCTTTGTTCGATATGATATTTGTGCATAGAATTTACGACTCGCGGTAACTTCATCTTGTCAACAGTAATGGACGAATCGCATATCTCGCCTTGATTGCCACCTTTCCTTCTATTTGCTTTCTCTTGTAAGTGATATTGAGCTCTGTTCTTTCAACATCAGAAGCTTTTATCTACAATTGTCAACTCCGACTCACGAGTCGTCAGTATGAGTCCGTATGACAAGAAGCATACGGAAACAGATAGCTGAAATGTGCTTCCCCGAGGATTTACACATTAATCGAGAGTTTTCAGCATATGTCTAAGATGTCATCAAAATTTTCAAGAGAGAGAAACAATGCAATGAAAATATTAGGGTTGCAAGGTCATTCTGACATTGTTCAACCATTGGAGCTTCTTTATACATACGAGCCATTCACAGATATGAGAACCAGTATCTCGGACATAGTCACCGGAAGCACTGTTTACACAGTCAGATCTAGGGAAATCTAATGCAAGCCATTCCGACTCCTCCAGCCCACGTCACGTAATATTGCACGGGTAAGAGCCTAGTGATCTGAATCAAACATCAGGTAAGGAACTCTTTTTGCAATGTTCTTGGTTTTAATTCTCCTATAAGTTCCGAAACGCAGCTGGCTCGGTTGCATCTCTACATGACAGGGTAATGGTTATCACGTGATATCTGATAGTGGGAACAGATATGGGTCGGTAAAACTAACCCCCGACAGCCCTGGGTGTTTGTCCTGTTTGCATCTTCGATGGCCAACTCTGGCCAGACAACAGCATCAACACACGACCAGCATTATTTTAAACGTACTTCAACGACCTAGATCGCTTCCAGAGACGAACTCCAAAGACTCCGTTCAACAAACTATCTCCTCGAATATTCATAGCCGCGTCCTCTTCTTCGAAACAGCCTCGGCGACGGCAAACCCCATACACATATACCAATAGCGGCGGATCGGACACAGGGAGAAAACAATGGGTGGCTACTTGTCAACGTTTACGAAGCTGATATGGGCGAAGAAGGAGATACGGATATTGATCCTCGGACTTGTATGGAGTCTCAAGCCCGCTACAAGGCGTTCACGGCGCTAATTACAAATGCAGGACAACGCTGGCAAGACAACATTACTATACAGATTGAAGGTACGCAGCGCCTAATAGTGCAAGCGGGAGCGGGAGGCAATCAATGCTGAACATGTCATACCGCCATGGATGAGAGCATACACTGACGGATGACAACAGATAGGAGAAGTAGTCACGACGATACCTACGATAGGTTTCAACGTGGAATCAGTAACATACAAGAACCTCAACTTCAACGTCTGGGTATGCACCTCTTAGAGTCATTCTGTTTACATCACCTGTGGCGACCTTCTAACAAAGGTTCTTAGGACTTGGGAGGCCAAACCTCGATCCGCCCCTATTGGCGCTGCTACTATGCCAACACAGCCGCCGTGATCTTCGTCATCGACAGTACCGATATCGAGCGTCTCACCACCGCCTCTGAAGAACTGCGTGCCATGCTCAACGAGGAGGAACTGCGCGACGCCGCGCTTCTCGTCTTCGCGAACAAACAGGATCAGCCGGGCGCAAAGGGTGCAGGCGAGATCAGCGAGGCGCTACGGCTGGGCGAGCTCAAGGATAGAAACTGGAGCATTGTCGCGTGTAGCGCTGTCGATGGAAGTGGTGTACAGGAGGGCATGGACTGGTTGGTGAGCAACGTGGGAGATGGCCAGAGCTGAACAGTGAATATCAATCAACATTGAAGGCAAAAAAGGAAGGCCAAGATATTCACACAATACGCGGCAACAAAACCGAGAAGCGCATGCAGATTACGCGGTACATACGTGTTCCAAAGGTTATTACCAGCATCAAATGGGCGTTTTGGGCGCAGGGATCAAGAAGGAACAGGGAGTTTAGCTGCGAAGTTTGGCTTGGTTTGTATTAATCCCAAATGTCAAAGGTTGTACCTAATATGGAAAGTTTACAAATCGAATAATCACAGTGGGTGGGGGAGCAGGAAATGCGATGCCACAAATATGCTCACAAGCTTACTCATTCTGACATGCGGGCGGGGTGTGTGTTTTATCGAAATTCTAATAATGTTCCCATGTGCGATCCCTGCCTGGCCTCAGTCTGCCCTCTGTCCAATCCTTGCCGTACACATAGGCACTGTGGATCTCCTCTTCATCAACGCCCAGATGATCTTCGCCGTCGCGTCCTCTGAACCAGCCTAGCGCGTACGTCTTGCCGGTTTTCTCCAGATGTTGCGTCATTTGCGTCGAGGTGAATTTTTCGGTGTCGATGAAATTGAAGAGCATTTTGGACTGGTGAATGTACGCCAGCACACTTGCCATAGTGCCGATCTGGCGCGGCATAAACTTCTGGCTGCGCTTTAGATACGTGAGACACGCGACGACGATGAGGTAGAGCAGGATGAACATGGTGAGTGCGAAGCTCGTCCAGAAACTGCGAAACGTCTGCTCGGTGTTGTAGCGGTCTTGCGGATCGCTATTGTTGCCGTCCTTGTTGTCGTCCCAGTTTTGGCCGCCGAGTCCTGGGATGAATTTCTTGCCGTCGACGCTGATGGAGGAGACGCAGACGGTTAGGACTTCGGCGAGGACGGAGCCGATGGCAACCACCATGACTAGGTAGTGGCGGTTAATGAAGGCTTTGAAGGGGAGCCAGAGCGGGTTTGTGCCGGCGTAGTCGAGAGTGAGGGTTTTGGCTGGGGCGTGGCGGAGAGAGAGGATGTAGAAGGGCTGTAACATCCTGATATCGCAATTCATTGTGTTCCAGAGTATTCGAATTACCGTTGCGAGACCGGTCATGACCCAGGGAAATTTCTCAGTTATGACGCCTAGATCCTCGACGAAGGTGAAGACGGGGATTACTGCAGTGAAGGCGATCAGCAAGATGATAAAGGGAATGCCAGATCGGTATCGTAGCATAAGTGGCCTGGGATCAGAACCACGCTCGTGTATCTTTTCTTTGTTGTCTCTGATGTATTCACCCTGCCAGAGTGAGCTCTTGTGAAGAATGTATCTCCGGGTGCGAAGTTTCTTGTGGATTTGATCCAAGGGCGCGCAATCCAGTCCTTTGAAGTCGGCAAGAATATGACTCTTGGTGGCCATGGCTGCAATGCCCGCGATGCCCTTGGGGTCTGATTGCAAGCCGCTTTTTCGCCGCATAGCGTACATCAATGCTCCGCCGCAGCAGGCCACTAGGAGAAGACATGCTGATACAGCTCTGGACCAGACTGGCTCGACTCTGATAGACTTCCATCCTTCGGTCTGGCGGTCCTTCTTGGGTGGATACATAGACATGGATGCAGACTGTAGAACCGGAACAAGGCTGCTAGCAACCAAAGTGCCCAGTGAGCTGTAGATGACAGCATACTGTCTGTGATGAAGGGCTCTGAGCGGCACCAGCCAGCTCATAAATGTTAAGTAATCCATATTTAGCGACTCCCCTGCAGTCGCTCCGGTCTTCTTGGATAGCTGGTAGAATGGCTCCAGGCGTTTTACTTCAAAGTCTGACATTTGCCAGAGTACGCCGTAGAATACCAAGATCATGATCGGTGCGTATTGCCATGCAAAGTATATGGTAATGTCCATGTCACCGACTCTTCTGAATTGTGCCAAGCCGCCCTTTTCGGGATCCTTCTTGACTTCGTTCAAAGAAGTTTGACAAAGGTATTCTTGTACGCATGCGAGCGCAAGCGCAATAATGATTAGCATCAGTAACCACAACTGGCTCATGGTAGTAGGACGCCAATTTGGCATTTGGGGATCTTCTCTCGGGTTAGGTTAAAAGCATTAGCAAAAAGGTGTAGAATCTCACCATCCGGGAAGAAGTAACTGGTTTCTGCCCCGTTGCGGACAAGACCAGCTTCAGCTGTGAGACTCCTCATCGATTCAAAGTCTCGCGCGATACCCGCAAAATCGCTGATATCAATGGGGACATCTGTTGTGACTGCGACTACTTGCCCAGTTTTCTCAGCTTCGACTTGTGCCTTTTTGGCCTCCTCGTCCGCTACCTCGTCTGCCGATAGTATTCGCCGATGGCCTGGAAACAATCCTGGTACTGGCCCCGCGGGAGTATGGGTAAATGGTTTGTGGAGTATAGAAGTCATGCCTGCACCTAGATGTGCCTCTAGACTCTCAAATTCTGCAGCGTGACTGGCTTCGTCCAGCTCCTGAGCCTTTGTGTTCGCTTCGGATTTGCCATACCCAGTCGGCTGCGCTTCATACATCTTCATTGACAGTCCTCCAAGAGAACTCAGGTCATACCCGACCGCTTCATCCTCCTCTTCGGTTTTCTTGGGCCTACCCCTTGAAGGCACTGCCTCTTCATCATCCAATCGATTGTAATGACCCCTCCCAAAAGAGCCCTTGTTCATCGACGTAAATCGATCCAACACCCTTCGAGCCCTGCCGTTGCTCTTCTCCGCTGGAGGAAAGGCTTTTTCCTGATTAAATATATTTGCAAGAGGGTTGTATGAGGTTTCTTCGGTGAATGGAAGAGGCTGAGGTATAGGAGGTGGGGCGGTAGAAGGGTTGCTGTACGATATCCTGGAAGCCGGCACTAGAGACGAAGGTAATGATTGTCTTTTTGTGTCAGAGATAGTGCTAGGCGACGCAACCGAAGCATCTGACAATGCATGTGACGGGAAGAGTTGAGAAATCCTATTTGACGAACCAGAACGGGTCTGGCATGTGAGTGGTGGGCGAGCGTGAGGCGGCGGAGGACCTTCAGTTATTGGGGAGCCAATGCGCAAAGCGGAGGGAACCGCATATTCTGACTGCCTTCTATCTTTGACAGGGGAGCCAGTCTGGAGGGCAGGTGGTACATGTGCCATGGCTGCGATCAGCGTCTTGTGGAGCCCAAGCGTGGCCTAATATGGTGATTTGTGCATTGAGTGTCTGACAGCCCAAATTAATAACGAGCGTAAGGCTGGTGTGGCAGGGAAGAGAAGAAAAGGAGAGGAGCAACAATTCGGACACGCAGTGCATGCGGCTGAAGATGCTTTGCAACGTGTGCGATGCACCCGTCAGTCTTGTCTCATAACACCAAACGGCGCATGCAAGTATCTCTGGAGAAGCTTCGAGATGGCAGTGTTTGTTATTTTAACAGAGCTGCGATGTGGTGAGCCGGTGAATCAGCCTGGGGGGTTTCCCGTGCCTGATGTTAGTGCAAAGGGCTCAGCCGTGACCGGTGCTGCGTAACAGTAGTACGTAGAAGAATAACCAATCAATAGAGACGGAGAATTGGGGTTTCAGCAAGCTGTAGGTCACATGTCTGGAACGCTCTAGTTAGGCATTGCGAAGTAGGCGGTGCTAAATACGCGGCATGCAGCAGCATGGCTTTTGACATTCGCTTGTTGCTGCCTTCTGTGAGTTGGCGGGCGGGAGACTAGTATTGGGGGCCAAAATCGTTGCCATGGCGCAGCGCAGACGGTACGTGCACAGCTGTGCTGGAGAGAAGAAACAACTGCAAATGCGAAGGCAGTTCAATGTTGCGTTAATGGCAGGAGAGTTTATTTAAAAAAAAATTGCCAGAGGCTTGGTTGCTTCCTCACGACGAGGTAAGGGCTGACGTCGAGACGCCAGGACGAATGCTGGCAATCATCTCACCGGCCGAACAAGCTCAACACGAGATGCGTAGGGATTCAAATACAAACGGTTGCTGTCGAATTACTGAAAGAAGCCGATATGCGGTCTGCCAGGTCGTATCGCTGTACCAAATGACGTGGCCCCGCTCTCTCAGCAACTACTACTGCATTTCAGCCTCAGCTGCAGATGCACACTGCCGCCTCTTGATTGACCCTGGCTTACCACACTTCAACACTGCCTCTTTCTCATTTGGACCATCGGGCCTTTTCTGTTAGCCACAAACATGTCGTAAATTTGGTATTGGTCTTCCACCTGTCGTCCGGGCGCAGCATTCCGGTCCCCTCCACCAAGATTGTTGTTCGGGGCCCCTTGCACCTCGTACATCCAGAGCGTCTTTGCGAGAACAAGACGCATCTCAAGCCAGGCGAGATTTTTTCCAACGCAGCCACGGGTTCCAAAGGAGAAGGCACAGAAGCCGCTCTCGGCCAAAGCTACACTTTCTGCTGATGATCCTTCCTTTCCAGACTCATCCACAATCCAGCGCTCGGGGCGGAACTTGAAAGGCTCGGGATACACGTCTGAGCTGTAACTGAGACAATAAAATCCAGTACTTACATGAACACCAGCAGGGAAGTAGTGGTCGTCGACAGTGGTGCCGCCTGGAAGGACCTGTCGGCTTGGCTCTGCGGCAAGCGGTGGAGTCATACGCATGGCTTCTTGAAGGAATGCTGTGAGATAGGTGCAGGACATGAGTGTGGTGCCGGACCTGATATCATCGTAGCTTGCAAATTTCGAGCGAATCTCCTGAGCGATCTTGACCTGGATTGCTGGTTGCTTTGCCAAATAAAAGAAAGCAGCAGAAATTACGACAGAGGTTGTGTCAGAGCCTGCGATTGTCAGGAGCTCACACTCGGCAAACAGCTCGTTCAGATCGTAGCCACGCTTTCCAGTCTCAGGGTCAACAGCATTGAACAGCCAATGGAAGAAGTCTTTTCGGACTTCGCCTTCGGGCTTGGGGCTCTTTTCCAACTCTTTCTCTTCACGAGAACGGTTCTCGAGACACTGCATGACGAAGTCTTGCCACCTTACAACGGCTGGCGGTGATGCAACTGAAAGGAGCCAATCAAGGCCTCGAGGCTTCAGCCACACCCACAAATCCGCAAATGGGCTGAAGGCAGTCTTTGGTAAATCAGTACTGGCTCAAGTCTAGCATAGAGTCAACAGAACTCACTGAGTGAAGAATTTCCAAAAATGTGACCATGATTTCTGGGATATGGCGGAGGTCGCTTTCGGGTTCTTTCATGTTAAAGTTCTTGCCAAAGCACAGGTCACCAAGGATATCGAAGACAAGCCAGTTGATCCAGTCACACATGTTGATAGGTGTCGTCCATTCACCATCCTTTGTTGCTTGTTGTCCTATCAGCTCCAGCCATCGATCCAAGTTGGAATGGAGAAACACTTCGGCATCACGCAAAGCAGCCTCAGAAAATGCGTAGTTCAACACGCGACGCTTGCGAGCATGAACACCAATAGCCGTGCTGCTCCAAGTGTTGATCGAATGGACATTGCGTGGCCAAACGCGGTAGTAGTCACTCTTCCTGACATTGCCTTTCGGTCCGAATATCTTCTTAAACGCACTTGGCGTGTTTAACACGACGCTGTCTGGGCGATAACGAAACTCGGGGCCTGTTTATCGATTAACGAGTAGTCGATGAAGACGAAATATCCAATCATACCGTATTTCTCTTGAAGACTATGCAGCCAAATGTGTCTGTCGCCTGTACGAGTATGCCACCAGGACGGGATCACCGACAAGCGAGCCCAGAACGGGCCGGGGAACGAGGCGAGGGGGTGGAAGTACAGGCGGTAGATTCCAATTACCCAGATGTAGATTAATGCCGAGGAGAAACATAGGGCAAATAAACTCGGGTACGACACCCCGCTGACGATGTTTTGATTAACCATCATGCACCTGCAACTCGATTTGGGCGGAAAAAGAAAGTCCAAGGACCCGAAAACAAGACAGAGGGGATGAAGGGCCTTGTAGATATGTATCTCATGCTCGCCGACTAACCATCTAGTACGGACTATCTTACTCTTTCCTTTCTAGTGTCCGCCTGTCCATTAGCGCTCAACAGATTAGTCTACAAAAGAGTTTGGATGGTGGCTAAAGTCCGCGGCGTCTATTCATGCCAGCAAAGAAGTGGAGTTTTGCTTTTCGGGCGAATCGGCAGATGGGGACAGCGAGCCGCTCCTGGCTTGCCACACCAACTAGCATACACACCTACTGCTTATTCGGGTAATAGGATGACATGTTTACATACTTACAGACGTCTTGCTTGCAGATGTAATCCCCCACTCTGCAGTGGCACTAACCATCTGTTTCCAAATGGGAATTCCATGTTTAGTAAGCTGAAATTCACGTAAATTGAATACTATTCAGAAAAACTAAGCCTGGCCCATGAGCAGGGATCGGGCGCCCCTCGACTTGCCCGAACGGAAAGAATAGCGCTCCCCCCGGTCGTTTTCGAAACATGAAGGGTGGACGAGGCGATGGGGGCATGGAGGGTCCTATAGGCTCTTTTGACGTTCTCGCTTCCAACGTACGTACAGTCCGAAAGGGGACTAGATGTGCTGTCGGCCCATGTGCCTCCGACCCCAAGCGGTTGGGAATCTGCACGCCATTCTTTGTTCCGCTTCCGCGCCCCTGCTCAGGGCGCACATGAAGGCTTGATTGGCATCTCGGATACTCTGACCGACAGCATTGGGCTCAGACGCCACACACTACTCGGGCATCTTTACATTTAGCATTTCTTTGCTTTTATACCAATGGAATCGTGTCTGGATTCTCGTCTTGCAATCAGCGTCCGCGGTAGAGAAAAAGACACGATATTCGATGCTTCCACACACCGATCACAGGCACCTGGATGCAGATTGCATCGCTCCCCGGTAATTGGCTGTCATGCAACTGCCGAGGCTGACGCTGACTCGGTGTCTGGTAAGGAAGATTAGGAGAACCAAACGAGTGGCCAAGGCATTCCTTCGCCACAGAAGAGGAAACTAACCCCCCTGCCCCATACACTGTACGGTGGCAAGCTTCGCACAAGTGCCGAGGGCAGCCGGTTCGCAACTTTGACCCCACTGAGACGAAGTTTCTGTGAATCACCGTATGTGATTCTCACATACACACATACATACAACAACCATCAGATATCAGCTGCAAGCATACAAGGCAAACGCGTTGGCTGCGCTCCTCGCCGAGGTACCACCATGCAGGCACTTGCTTAGTTCATTCACACCCGATACCACATGCCAGTCACACATGTACATCCAAATTTATCCCTCAGCCAACATTGGAGTGTGCATGTATTTTCTTTTGTGCGGGAGATGCCCAGCTTCCTTTTCCGCAGGCTCGAATCTCTTACCAAGTGTGTATCAACCATGCATACTCGTGGTGGAGCAGGTGCTCATTTCTCTCCCGCAGGTTACGTCAATCCGCAGCCCAGCCTGTCGGGAGGCCGCTATCCATGCTCGTTAGAGTGCAAAAGGCAAGGCTCCGTCCCTTGCGAGGCTCCAGCCCACGTCCTCCAAACAAGGCCCACCTGCTAGCGCTCCCGCGGGGGTCTAAGCCCTGGTTTCCGTTAGTTAGAGTTTGCCCAACAGCCGCAAGCGTAGTGTGGATTACCGCTTTGTTATTCGCATTGGTCCATTATGGGGCTTCAGAAGAAAAAAACTGTCATCTGGACGGAGTGGCCCCCAGGGGCACTACGGTCGGGAGTGGCTGAAGCGGCGCGAGCCATGAATATACTGGGGGCGTATGGTTAGGCCTCCAAGAGGGTCTTCTCCTTAGTATAACATCTGCAACTCTTCACTTTTTCGCAGATCAGAAGGTTACTTGGTATTCAATCACCGCCTTCTTGTTTGTTTCTCTTTTGCGCTCAGAAAAGCATCCCAGGTTGCTCGTCACGAAAATCGGGCAAGTGACCTAAGCCATGGCGCCCATCATTGATCCTCAAGAAAGCCTGTAAGTTCTTGACGAGATCTAATCACCCTTGCCCCCCGACTCTGATCATATTGTATGATGGGACCAGGCACATTCCATGGGTCCCTGGCGATACCTAGACCAGAGAACACTACACTGGGGAGTCGTTTGACTGACAGAACGACAGTGCCGCTTTCCGCCAACGCCTCGATGGAGTTGCTATATTCACATACATCCTCATCATGTTTCTCGTTCCTCTGAAGATCTGGTGCCGCTACCGTCACCGGGGATGGCGCAACGTACAATGGGACGACTACATATCGATAGTTGCTTTGGCCCTCGCGAACGGATTCTTTTACGTGTGTATAATCGGTAAGTCTTTGCCTCCTGCCTTTCTTCATGGTCGAGGATGAGCAAGAACTGACCGGTTGCCCTGTAGGTATGCGAGACTCGCTGGGCCTACACATCTACGAGATTGAAAATCCCCTCCAAATCATAGCCTTCCTGAAGAACATCTACGTGGGAAACATACTATACACTCTATGTATCACGTCGGTGAAGCTCTCCGTACTAGCTTTCTACTGGCGTCTATTCGAAATCAAGGCTCGCATCACAATCTACATTGTCACTGCTGCAGCAATCGCCTGGTGTACTGCCATCGTGAGTCACATATTTCCTCGTAGCAGATGTCATCTTCCAATGATATCTAATGGATTTCGGACACTAACCACGATTGGATATTCATAGTTGCTCTGTGTCATCTTCAACTGCATACCCGTCCAAGCCGCCTGGGACATCACCGTAACAGGTGCAAAATGCATTTCTATCCGAGCCATCTACCTCGGCGGTTCTGTCCCCAATGTCTGCCTCGATCTGATCATCGTCCTCATGCCCCTGCCACACGTGTGGCGCCTGCACGCGCCCCTTGCGCAGCGCATTGTGCTCGCAGGCATGTTCGCCCTCGGCACCTTCATCGCCGTCGTGTCGCTCGTGCGCCTCATCATCTTTCTACAAATTCCCATCGCCACGCAGGGCGACGTGACATACAACTTCCGCGAGATCATCGTGTGGTCGATTGTTGAGGTCAATATTGGCCTGGCGTGTGCTTGTCTGCCAAGTCTGAAGCCCGTGTTCCAGGCAGTAGGATTGAGCAAACTCTTCTCTTTCTCGTCATCAAGACCTTCCGATGTCGAATCGCAAGGAGCAGCGCATCAGTATGCATCAGGTGGCTCATCAGGCTCCCGGCCACGCAAGAAGGGCGCAACAGGTGGTTTGTTCTCCACACTGGCCGGAATCAGCAGAATGGACGATGACGAGGAGACTAAGTTTGTCAACGAAGATCTGGGTAAAAGCAATGTTGATATCGAGCTAGCGCGTGTGAGCGAAGACAGCGAGCAAAGAACAGCAGCCGGTGGCATCAATGTGCAAAAGAATTGGAGTGTGTTAGTCGATGAAAGGAAACCTGCGCGGTAATGATTTTTCTTTGAGCCAGAGCAAATGAGCATACTAGACGGGTCGGTACAGGCATGCAAGGCATATGTCCACTGCTTGACGTTTTGGGTAAAATAACAATCTCATGACAGGAAGCTGAGCTTCCTATGTACATATACGAGTATCGTTCTAGAAGTAACTACAACATATCTTAATTTTTTATCTCAGTATACCGAAAAAGGTAGTATGCCCTGGTTCAGCCGTGTTAGATTCTCGTTGTGAAAATAGGCAACGGAACAAATTTATTTAAAAATAGAGATATTGGACATTTACGCATAACATACTGATGCAGCCCTATCCAGTATCGAATGTGATGAAAACACACATCTTCGAAAGATGAGTCTTGAACCAATAACAACAACGAACACACTTGAACAGAGTAATCCAGGGAGGGCGGGCTAAACTTCGCCATTTGGTATGAGATGGGCTATAAACATTAACCATGTTCAATATGAGTTTGTATGCTACTGTGCCCTACATCTTGCAGCTCAATGCCAAGCTGAATCACGTGTAGTTAGCCTCGACCAGATAGTACGTCTACTATATCGCGCTAGGGAAGACGTATGTAGGTGAAGTAGGTACCTTGACTGTGGATACAAGAAGATCACCGCAGCTCACAGGCTGCATAGTGAAGACGAGGAGATGGCTCGAAAGCTTTTGCAATGTCTTACCGAAGGTGGCGAATTGCTACTGGCTGTTTGTTGCAAAGGCAAACGGCGAATCAGGGCCCACCACTTGTGGTACGTAAGGGTATATTTAGCCTAGTAGGCAGCCACAAACACAGGGCGCTTGCTCAACCTCAGCCTTGCCAAACACTGCACACTACACATCATCCCCACAAACTAGCACGAAACAACCGTTTGGTGCAACCTGCGGGTATCCCGCATCTTCAGTACTCAATGCGGCCGTCACGAAATCGAACAAATGTCAACACTTACAACTTGAAGAGACTGTCAGGTATCGTTAGTCGCACCCGCAAGCCCCAGCGCAGCAGCGGCAACTCTGAGGTTAAAGATGAAGTCCCATCCATGTCACATATTGGCACCCATGAAGGGGTTCAAGCAGCACAATCAGGCTCTTTTGATCAGACTGGCGGCTCTCAGACTAATGAGCTGCCTTGGCCAGCCATGCCACCCAGCCTGCCTGAACTAGGAAGATCTCTAAGCAGTGGAGAAGCCAAAACAGTTCAACAGAGCCGGCCAATCAGCTCCCAAACTTCTCGGCGTTTTTGTAAATGCTTCAACCCTTATGCTGACTCAAACGGTCACTTTTACTCAGTCAATCAACTCTTCACGCAAGGCGTTTGGATTGGCTATCTAGCGCCAGACCGACATAGGGAGTCGTTTCGGGGTCTTCCTTCATTCAATATATTGAAATCTAATTGTTCCAAGCTCGTTACGCCATATCCCACAGCAACACAGGGCTTGGCAGGGCAACCTCGCCATGCTGTTTGTCGGGGGTGCCTTTCAGCTACTTCAAAGGTGTTCGAATTGAGAGAAGTTCAGTTCTACGGCAAGTCTGTAAGTCATGCGTTGGAAGTGCTAGCCGTTTTAGGCAATCATTCTCCATCTATCAGATTTATACGGCTTGCAAAGACAAACTAACGATACACAGAAACTGGTAATCATGCCGCTTGATGGTGACGATGAAGTTGGGGTTTTCGCCATCATGTTGCCACAGAAGCATGACAGAAGTCTACACGGTCTTCAATCCTACCGGCCTTATAAGATCGCTGAAAGTGAAAATGGACAAGATTTGTTCAACGACTACGAAGTTCTCACTCTCCGTAATCTTGACAGCAGTGCTGATGTACTAGCTACAGCTCTCGACGTACTCCCACCGCTAGAGCTTACTAGAACTGCCGTGGAGGTGAAGAAGCGGTCAGTGTCGGATTCAAATTACATCTATGATACTTCGACTCTTTTTGAATCGAGTACGACAGACAATTCGATACCAACAACACCAACGCTAGAAGAGGGAGAAATCAGAGAAGACGATATGCAAGAAGATGGGTCGATTAAAACAAAGCGACAGAGAAGTAGCACAACGATCTCGTGCAAGCCCCATACCGTAGAGGAGAAAAGGCTCAGTGGCTACAATAGCCCTGCATATCCAGGTGCCGGGGGTTTCATGGAAATGTCCCTTGATTGTAATGCCCAGAGCCCAGTAACATCCACCTCAAACCTTCAACCGCGAGTCACCAAAAGCCATGTATCCCCCGAGACAGTACATCCTGAGCTCACTAAGGAACAAGCTGGCCGCATATACATAATCTGGTTCGTAAAAGACCGAGATCTAGAATATGAGTTCGTCCACACGATTGGTGAATGCAAGACCTTTGCAGGCCTACTCCGACTGCTGGAAGAAGACACAGAGGCCATCCCGTCCATTGCTGAGATTCTAAAAAGAACAACGACTTGGCGCTTATGCTGCAATACTGGCGGTCATGGTGGTATGAACAAGGCGCTGATCGCTCGTAAAGGAAAGGAGGCTGCATTTGACCGACTACAGACTATACTCGCAGAAGCCCCTCTCTGGAGCACGAATTTGCATGGCCGAGTTCATGTCGAACTCAGATCTTTGAGCTGATCAGATTGTTATTGTTTGGTCTATTACAAAGTCGTGATTAAAAGGAGGTTGCTCTGGGAGTGTGCACTGTTTTGTTGCGTTTGTGCGTTGCATCACCGTATACCCCATGCTTATCTTTTGGTCAGTTCTCAATGAAAGAGGCGGAGACCCAGTTTCCAACTTGCGGGAGGACAATGGCGTATTGTATTTACGGATGCATATTGATGCTTATATGCACAGAGTCTCACACGAAGCGATTCATTGTTGCTGGGCATCAATCTCGGTTGTTGAGAATGTAAGCCCACGGTTTCCTTGACAATCCTACAACGGGACATTCCCACGATGTACGCGCATTGTACAACACCACCGGAAGGACAACAGACTCTGAAGAATCTCAAGATGGCGGTACGGACCAGCGCTGTAGCTTTGCAGCAGCGAAACAGGAGTGAATCGTATCTTGGCGGCCGAATAATAATCTGCACAACATTGTGTAAGCCTTTGGCAGATCGTCGTGCTAACGCAAAGTTGTTGGCCAATGAGCGAGAACTGCCTGGCGCTTCCGCCTACCCTTCGCGGCCTGGCGCGGCTGACCCTGTAAACGAGCTTTCCGTACGCGGCGCTACGGTTTCTTCATCTGTACTTTTGCCATCAATCGCATCTCCCTACCATCTTCCCCTTGTCGCTCGCTTGCCTTGCGTTCTTCTCTAGTTGCTGTCATATATCCATTGAGCGGGCCTGTTGCTAGTATCTACAGTTTGCCGTTACAGTCCTGAGCGCATCTGCATGTAATCATACCGAGGGAAAACCAGCACTTGGATTCGCGCTTCTTTACCAAATTTCCTGACGACCTTTGACATTTTATGCACCCGTCGCAAACATGGACAGCTCAGCAATCACTTATGCGACGTCGAAAGACTGGCTCGATATCATGAAAAATCGGTCCAAAGTGCGCATGCATGAGCTTATTGAGCGCCTTGGATTACGCGCAAAGTGGTCTTCCAATAAGCGTGGCAAAACCAATTTTGAATCGGCCTTGGTGCGCGAACTCGTGGCGGATATGGGAGACGTTGTGTCTACGTTACCAAAGGAGCCGGATGAGTTGATGAAGTTCCTCAGCGACGAGGGGAGTTTAAAAGAGGAGGTCGACGGTTTACTCGAAAAGCATGGGATGAAGGTTTGGGGGAGAGCGGGAGAGCGCGATCATCTGCTCACTGCCAACGAACCTGGCGTGGAAGAAGGGCTTTATTCCAAAGATCTTTATTTTGAGAATGAAGAGGATAGGCAATTGTAAGCAGGCTGGCTGTGCAGACCGAAAACTCGGGTAATCACGAACGATTGCTGATGGATCGCCTAGAATTCACAAGCTCCTCCACTGGTGGATCGGACTGAAAGCGTGCAATGTCATCCTTGCACGAGAGCGGCTCGATCGGGAAAGGAGGAAAAAGGCAGAGAATCGACAAGCGCGAGCTGAGGCTGAGTTCTCTGGTCAGCAAGACGGCGGAACACCAGCATCTTTTGTTGCGCTGGCACCCAACTCAGTCCTGCACGATGGTGATACAGTATCACGTGGCAGTCCGATTTCCTCTAGCGCAATGCTCACACCCCCAGAATCAGGCGAAAGTCCAATTATGGGACCCCGCGAAGCAGGTAAGTTTGCATCCGTCAACGGTCGTGGGTGTGTACCTAACGGCTATACCACTTTTGCAGCCGCGAACGCATATCAGGCACAAACCTTGCAACAGCGACAAAATATTGTTGAAGGCGTCTGGAACCGACTAGCTGTAGACGGTAACAGATCGAGAGATCTTAGTACTACGTCTGCAGGCCCTCCTCACGGTCATGGTACGCACCCCGCAGAAAGCAAAGGGGCCGTAGACCAGCAGGTCGCAAACGCAAACCAAGCAGCGGTCGACCGGCAAATTAGCGTCGAAGTTGCGAAGCTGGTAGCAACCTTCCGCTCGGACGATGCAGGATCAGAGGAGATACCCCAGCCAAACAATAGCATACCCTACCGCGGGTTAGATTACGACGGGTTGCGGGCGCTACGACAATACGTCTATGGAGAAGAGCACGGAGTTGGGGTAGACGAGGAAGCATTACTCAATTCACTGGAAAAGACATGGCGAGAGCGGGTTCGCGCTGATTACCAGAAAATGGTTGAGAACATTCCCGTGTTCATTGCGAGAGAAAGGGCGTTTTTGACATGGGTGGAACTCAAGCGCCATTTGGCAGCTCTGCAACGTGCAAATGAACGTAAGTCGACGATCTCTAGCCCTATCTGCACACCGTCCCGCACTGACAATGGCTGCAAATGTACAGGGTGGTCAGCAGAAGGTCATACCACGGCGGAAATCGAACGACGCATCCAACAACACCGCACACTGATGGGCTGTACACAAACGATTATTGCAAACTTTGAGGATGTTGGCCAAGGCTTTGGACTCGGTCCTAATGTTGCAGTGGATCGTGACGAGCTGCTGCGACAGGCCCTGGTCGTGCTAGCAGGAGAGAAGTATGCGGTAGAGATGCAGTGGAAGCCTATAGAGTTTACAGCGACAATGGCTTGGCTGCACGAACACCTGGAGAACTTCCGACGGGAAGAAGAGGAAGACGGCAAGGGTATGCTGTGGCACGCCGGATAATAGGCGTCGGAAGTTGTCACATTTGCGTCTCTTTCTGTCACACATATAATATAGTACAGTGGGCTTGGAGTATAGTGGTAAACTCTGTACGCGGTGTGGATCTTACAGGCGTTCAGCAGCAGGCAAGGGATCGATCGATCGGCCAGACTTAAGGTGCACTAGGCGACCCAATTCGGGAAAATTGTCTATTGGGGTAGGTCAGCCGCAGGGGTTGGTTTCAGCTACTTCATCTTGTTACAGGATCGTGTAGGATTAGACTAGGCCAGTTGTGCCACTTGCACGCACACATGCATACACAGACACAGACATGCTAGTAAACAGACAGGCAGCCCATAACTGCGTGTGTATTACGTACGTTTTGCCCCGTCAGCCTACATAAAGTGTGCAACGTGCAGCCCGGCAGTCACGCGACAAGTAGGCATAAATTTAAAATAAAGAAAAAAAAACCTCCCCCCACCCCCGGCCGTCTCACGTACTGCCAAGGATAAGCGCAGGTATGCAGCGATCAATAGTTCGGCAACCGGTATCCGGGCATATAATGGTGACGGCTCGGCAGCACTTCGCAGTACACGCTCGCTTAATGTAACCTGCGCGCAAGGGGCGTGTGGGCTTTGGCTTTTTGGGCCAGCACGCCGTAAATCTTGCCTAAGTAATGCCAGGTTCCTATTTTAGGACGGCATGACGGACGAGCGTCGCGCATATCTCCATGTGCCTAAAGTAAGTGATGTATTCCTACTCATGGGCACTGGCCCCTCGTGTAGATAGATTTACGACAGGGAGGGCGCCACAATTGGTCGCCGCGTCATGTCATGCCATGCGATAACGGGTTTCTTTCCCTCGTGCCTTGGTGTGTGCTAGGCCATGTTACTTGGGAGAGTTGGGAGAAGGGGGGGAGGGGCGGATANTGTGTGTGTGTGTGTGTGTGTGTGTGTGCGAGCGACAAAAGACACGGCAGAGTACGAGTTGTATGGGCTAGGCAGGCTGAAAAAAGCGAAGGAGTCGAGAGACGAGCGCGTCATAGATGCAAGGTGTAATTGTAACTCCTGACCACGACGCCAATAAGGACCATGTCGAGCTATGCGCAAAGCGTCGTAGTGCCGCCTGTTCGCTGATAGCACATGGCGGCTAGTGCTTGGTTTGAGTAAAGAGGGTCGGGTATTTTGGCCTAGGCGAGTAAGAGTTTTTCTGCTGCTAGCGACCAGTGCGCGTGGGTTACGGCCGCTGTATTGGATTGGTAACACGGCCATGGGACGAGTAATAAGTACGGATGACTAGCATAAGGCAGCGAGTGACAATGAAGCCCATAGTGCAAGCGTCGTACTATTGCTATGAACGAGCAAGGGCGGGCGGGCCTTGTTTTGCCTGGACGAATGAGGGTCGGGCGGTACTATCATTTACACCTGATGGGGAATTATTGGCATGCGAGTCATTAACGGACGCGTATTAACCTATGCACATGTTTTTTGATGCCGCCCCTGCCACCTTATGGTCTCGCTACTGGACACGCTCCTCTTTTCTGCCTATCTTTTCGACGCTGCATACCCTCTGTCGCTTTTCTTACACGTCACCCGCCATCAATCATCATCAATCATCCATCATCCTCGTCATCCTGTCATCCTGTCACCCCATCCACTAACACCCAGCTGCCCCAGCAAGTCCGCTTAGTTGCTCGTAACCCTGGCGCCAGCGTCTACAGGGGTCCGGGCCTATCTTCTTTGTTTGCTGAGGTAGCACGATCGGCATCCGACGCTGAACAAAGTTTTTTGGAAGAGGCAACTGGCAATAAAAAAAAAACTTTGTTCCAAGACGGCCTAGTGGAACGTACTCCTTTTACCATTGCCCGGCACATCAATCACAACCCCCCCCCCCATCTCATCCCACCCCGGTCAGTCCATCTCATCATCACACACGTTCCGCTCAGTGCTCGTGCGCCCCATCCACTGTCATCTCCAACCGTCTACGTTTCCATCATTGTTTTCCTACACCCTCACTCACTGTCCAACCGCCCTCCCGGCTACTACCAACCACTACTACCACCACCATTACCATCGCCCATGCAGCGGCCATGAGTTCAAAGGACAACCTAGCCCTCGACCTCGAGCACGGCGTGCGACGATGGGACCGCGCTCGATGGATCTCCGTCTTCAGCTCGCATAACCCGACTATCCGCGAGGTGACGGAATGCCTAGGCCTCGGCTTGTCTGCATCCTCGTCCACCACCAACCGTGGCATCCCCAAGTTCGACAATCCCGACTATCGCAAGCTTTCCAGCGAAGTCACCAAGCTGTCCAAGGAATTGCCAAAGGAGCGAGATGCGCTGCTCGATTTTGCCGCAGATCCGCATTCGCTCGACCAGGAGCTCGAGGACTTGCTAGCGAGTTACGGACCCGCTATTTGGGGCAGGGATGCGGATCGTAGCTGCTTGCTGACTCCGGATCCAACGAAGAAGACGTACAACAAAGATTTGTTTTACGAAGAGTCCGAGCACAAGGACATGTAAGTTTTGTCCATGCACTTTTTGTGTTTTGTGTTTTATGTGGGTGGTGCAGGGGGTGTGGGTACTTGTGGGTGGGCGCGCGCTAAGCTTTTTGCAGTCTTAAGATACACCTGCACCGATGGATAATCATCAAGGCTTGCTATTACATTCGCAACATGAAGCTCAAACGACCGTCGGGCGCAAACGAATATGACCAGATTGCTGACATTGATGGCGAGGGCCTGGTACGTTGCTCACCATCACTTACTATAGTGACATTTCCCATCTCATCTCATCTCGATTACTAATTAAAATGCAGTCGCCACATAGCACACCGCAGTCGCTTACACCGCCGGACATGGATTCTGTTGCCGGTGCCGACCTTGACGTCAAGCCAGTTAATCTGAAGAAGCGTAAAAGCAATACTCACCTGACCAATTCCGACGATGATGACATGGACACGACACCCGTCAAGCGGCCATACAGCACCATGCCCATCAGCCGAAAGGGCAGCCCTAGGAAATCACTCAAATCGCTCTATCCTGCTGTGTCGGGTAGTATGGAAAACATGCCACCCATGTCAATCCACGCCCATCGTTTCTCCCCAGCACCAGGAAGCGGCCCTGAAGCCGGCAGGACGCAACTTGCTCCTTTGACAAATAACGACATCAACGGCGTACCGAGGCCGTTTTCTGTTTCCCAAAGCCCGACACCCGGCAGCTTTACCGCTGTTAACACTGGAAGTTTCACCGCAGTCAACAACCCATCGGCTGTCAAGGAGCCTTTGAGAGATCCCGTACGTGAAGCCGTACGGGAATCTTCCAAGGAAATGCAGCGACCCTCTCCTGTAGGCGGACATCGTCACAGCAATAGCTACACCAGCCCTTATGAGCCATCCCCGCACACTTCAGCTCCGCCTCGGCCTGCCACGGATCCTCCACGCTCCGTGATGCCTGCGAGCTCCACGTCTGCTCCTAGCAATCATGTACTTCAGCCGGCGAATACATCTGCACCTACAAATGGAGCAAGCGAACTTCTGAAGAAGGATTCCCCAGTTGTTCCGCATGCCCACCATGCCCACATTGCTCCCCAGCCACAATCACAATCACAAAGCCCGCAGCAGCAGCATACACCACAACCCGTTCAACCGCAGCATACCCAGCACGCGCCACTTCCTTCTCACCCACATATCCAAAACCAACAACAGTCTACACCTCGACCATCGAGTCCACCTAATACTTCAACACTTCACTTTGGACGTTCTCTTGTACCCCACCCTCGAAGTAGATCCAGTACACCCCTCGCGCAGGCCGCACCTAATAAGCCACTTACGACATCTAATACACAGCCAACGTCTACGCCCCTTTCGCAAGGTGCAGCCGCTTATGGAATACAACTGGTTCCAATACAGGAACCGCCACCACCTGCCCCGGCCTTAGTCAGTCATCGGGCACCTCCTAGTCATGCTCACTCGACTCCATCTCACCACACTTCGCATCAGAGTGTACTGAAAAGCCAGCATTCGGAACCCGCACATGTTACACAACCCGCCCCAGCAATTCCTCGGCAATCGGTCCCGACAGCCGATCTCCGCCTCCTGCAATGCGAGGTGACGGCGGGTCTGTTTACATTCTTCTTCCCACGCCCTACAATGCCTCCAGATGAAGCGGCGCTGCTTCAGCGTCTGCATGCGCTATGGTTTCACGGCGAGTCGCTGTTTCGCAATGAGCTTTCAACCCACTACGACTTGGTCTCCAAGATCCTGACCGCCTGGCTCCACGAACGACAAGCCATTGCCGCATTGCGCCACTCAATGGCTTCGAACCCAGGTGTCTCACATGTGGGGCTTGTGGACCGCTTATTGGCGATGAATGACCTCCGAGCAATGCGACTCAAGTGGAAGAACATGAGCCCAATTGACGGCATGAGCCCCGAAGATCTGTTGTGCATGGCATTCAAGGTCATGACCAACACCGAGGGAAGCGAGTACCTATTCAAGGATGGGCTTGCAAGACTCGAGTTGAGCGTCTTTGAGTTCCTCCGTAGCGAAGACAGCAAGATTGTCATGCAGAGGCGGGATACGAGAGCTGCTTGAAACCGCAGCGACAGCAACGGCCCGTGGGTGGCCTGTCTCAACGACGCTTTTCCTTTTCCTTTTTTCTTTTTGCATCTCTCTATCCGTGTTCTGTACGTACTAATGCACTATAGTAGCGTGGGTGGCTTGTGCTGGATTTGCCCATCTTGGCGCTTCGTATCTTTTCCTTAGCGACGGCGTTATCTCGACAAACTCTCTTTTTTTTCCCCTTTCATCTCATTTCGTTTTCTTTTAGGCTGGAAAAAGCTTGTCATCTTGCATTTTATTTTTCTTATTCATTTTTTTCTTTCTCGCGCGGTATGTTTTACTAGATCGGAACTACGAGATTTGTAATAGGCGGGAATCTAGGGGCCGTCGAAACAAGTGGGAGGTTAGTGTGTAGGTATGTAATGGGGCTGCCTTGGCGTGGCACGGTTGATGTGTGTATTTGGGGTATCAGGGAAGCAGGTGTTTTACGGGCGTAAAGAGGGTGCCGGAGTTTGTACCGGTAACATGTGGGATATTACTCTAGAAGTAGGGCTTGTATAGCGTGCGTATAAATGGCTAGCCCCCCCCTGGTAATACATATCTTCTACCATAATAGACCAGCATCCGCCCCCCACCTCCCCAGTATTGGCTAGTCGAGGCAACATGGCGTGAGGGTGTGTATGTAAGGTGGGTGTCTAGAACGAGCTGCAGTTCGTCGCCTGATCACCTAGACAGCGTCACGTGCGCTCGCTGAACCCTGCATAGTTCGCATACCACGCAACCACTAGTCCTGAGGCGCTGGCTGCTCTCAATCTCAACAGCGCCCCCTTCAAGCCCTTGGCCCAAAGCGGCACTGATGCGCAGCCTCCGCTGCGGGCGCGCCTTTCCCCGTGGCCGTCCGTAGTGGCTGCTATGTGCGACCGGGTTTCAGATACAGCCTCATGACTTGGGACCGCCTCGTCCACTCACCGGCAAAGCCCACGCACCCTCGCCCGTACTGAATGGGCCCCGTGGATTCCTCACGCGCGCCTCCCTGCCCCTGCACACCCTTTTTCTTGATCAACGGGCCTGTTGCTACTGCGGCATATGAGTCTCACGATGCACCACCACCATCACTGGTAGCCGTTTGGTATAGTCAAAGCGTATTCTGCTTCCTAACAACCCCCCCGCGCTCCAACTAGTCAAGCATGGTGCTGCGACTTTTTGTCCCGCCCGGTAAGCCCAAGAGCAAACGCGAGAGAGGGAGAGAGGGGGGAGAGACGGTGTGGGGAATGACCATGGAACTTTTATCACTGATGAGAAACATGCACACACACAGGGGAAGGCCAACACGGGCTTGTTCCAAAACGACCAGATGGCATTGGCGCAAACGCAACGCCCCAAACTTGTCTTGTCTCTTCGACGCTGCTGGCCGCAGTGTATACTTCGTTTGCCTCGACATTCAACCAGCGAGTAGTCGGAGTAGCGCCTCAACAAGCAGCACACGCATCTAGGCCCGCCCTGTTTGTACGGTCGTCGGCCAGACTGGGCCTCTGCGTCGGACTAGCTGGAGCAGCCATAAACTGGTACTACTACTCGGCTTTTGCAAATGTAGTTATTGCCGACAAGGTGCAAGAGGCTAGCAGGTGGAGACTGTATCAGTGGACCAAGGGGTACACGGTCGACGATGGTGCTTTGGCCGGTACCGCTATCGGACTATCGGCCTCAATACCTATGCTTCTGATGCGCCGCCCTGCTATACCGCGCTGGACGCGGTGCCTGGGCATGGCGAATATCGGCGGCTGTACGGGCGTGGTGGGATCCCATGTCTACCTCCAGTACACGGGAGAGCGACAAAAGGCATACAGACTTCTTGAAGCACGACGGAAGCGCAGGTCGCTCGAGTTTTGGGCCATCTTCTGGGACAAGGAGCTCATGGCTAAACTGAGTCCTATCATGCAGCAGTATGTGCGGCACAACGGCGTCTGGTATACCCAGCTCTTGCCGGATAATGCCTTTGAACAAACAGAAGACGATGTCGACTCTATTGATACTACTACTGCTGCTGCTGTTCAAACAACACAGCAAGTCACAAACGTACAACAACAGCCTGTGGAACAAACCCCAGACCCCCCTTTCTACCTCGAACCCGTCGACTACACAGCCGACCTCGCCCAAATCAACGTCGAGGCGACGCTCTCGAGAATCCAAGAAATGCAAGTAGAACGCCAAATTCTCCTCGAAGAAGCACACTACCTCCTCTCCCTCAACGCCCACCAACGCTACGAATACTGCCACTTGCACGCCACCCTCGATGCAGACGACCGCCTACGTCGCCTCCAGGAAATCCATCTCGTAGATGTAGCCCACACGCGTCTGCGCAACGCAGCTGACACTTTGGATATGAAAATCATTCACTGGCAAATGTCGCTCCAACACAAAGCCGCGTGGGAACAACTTTCCTCTCCCTCCTCGTCCTTGTCGTCAGACGACCCAGAAAACAACTGGCTCCCCGAATCCCACCTCATCGACTACGCTACCCACAGACCCAGCTTCTCTGTCCTGGAAATCGAGAAAATGGCGAGCCAGATTGAGGCCCAGGTGCACCGCTTCCACGAGGGGAGCCTGGATCCGAAATTTCCCCGCGAGAAACGTGAGAGGTGGCGCAAGGATGCAGAGGACGGGAGGGTGTTGTTGAGGGCTGCGGATCACATCTTGTTTCGTATGGAGAAGGCGAGTAATAGTAGTAGTAGTAGTAGTAGGAGAGGTTTTGACGGTGAGGGAGGAGGTTTGCTGCAGAGTGGACGTGAGCAAGTCATGGCGGCACAAGACGATGCTACCTCAGTTGAACAACTTCATCCTGCGAATGATCCTCCCTCTTCGACCGATGATGGCTCAGCCGCCGACGAAAAGCGCCTGAGAAAAGACGTGGAACAGTCTCGAGCGGACGCCAAAAAAGCTGCCAAGCCGCGGCGTGATGGTCTGGAGCAGAACAACCCGTAAACTCAATCTACAAGGACCCAAATTGGCTCTGGTAACATCTTTTCCATCTGTCAAAACGCACACGTCTACCTTCTGCTGGACACGGTAATCACAAAGGAAACGTTAATGGGACCACTATCAATTGTAATCATAATTGTAACCTTTTTTCATTATCAAGCTATACTGAGCTACTTAAGACGCCATCATTCCCAATCTTAAAGGAACATGAAAACCATAGACCCTACATAGCCTGCCATGAGGTCAAAGAGGGGATATCGTCATGATGCTAATGTTACAAGGCTTTATTGCCTACTCCATTCCGTTCTCCTTCCATCTGTACGTAGATCATAAGGTCGTGAAATAGTACGTAAGGCAGTCGTATCAAGATAGTGATACGTCTGAACGCTGCTTGTCGGTTGCGTTGCTAGTAGCGAGTTTCTTACAACTCTTGCTTGGCAGAAGAAGCGCTGGCGGCGGCCTCGTAAGATGCGCTCTTGGCAGACTTGGAGGCAGCAGAGGAAGCGCTAGCAGCGGACTTGGAGAGCGAGGAAGAGGATGAAGAGGCGGACTTGGCAGCAGCACCGCTGAGGGAGCTGGCGCTGGCTCCAGCAGCGTTAGTAGCGGAAGCAGCACTGGCAGCAGCGGCGTCGGTAGCAGATGCAGCGCTAGCTCCGGCAAGACCAATTTGCTGCTTAACCAAGTTGGTGTAGTAAGCAAAGCCATCAGTGGCGGAGGCGTATTCGTTGTTAGCCTTGGAGGTAGCAGCGCCGTAAGCGGAAGCACCAGAGGCAGAAAGAGACTCAGCAGTGGCGGAAGCACTGTCACCGTAGAGGCGGGCACGGTGCTTGCGAGCGAGAGCAAGGAGCTCGTTGCGCTTGGAGCCCTGGGGAACCTTGATACCGTTCTTGTCGGCCCACTCCTTGATCTGGCTGTCAGACCAGGAGTCGAGCAGAGCGTCACTGAGACTCTGCTGAGCAGCGGCAGCGGCAGAAGTGACAGAGGCGTATGCATCCTGGGACTGCAGGCTAGCAAGGCGAGACTGACGGCGGAGGGCAGCAATCATGGAGTCGCGGGTGTTGGGCTGGGGAACAGGGTAGCCACGCTCGTCAAACCAGGCCTTGAGATCAGAGTCAGACCACGAAGCGTAGAGCCAGTCACCAGGGTAGTTTGCGGTCTCCTTGGCCTTCTCGGCAGCGGACTGGTAGTTGTCACGGACGGCAGCGAGAAGAGAGTCACGCTGGCGAGGCTGGGGAACGGGGATACCATGCTTGTCGGCAAAAGCCTTAAGCTGAGAGTCGGACCAGCTGTGAAGTGTCAGCAATGGTAGCGAGTAAGCAGCACAGATTACATACGTGTCAAAGATCCAGTCCTTAACATTGCCATAGGCCTGGTTTGCAGAGTCCTCAGTCTCAGTCCAGTACAGCTTGACCTGCTCAACGAGGCTCTTTGCGTCCTTCTCGGTGCCCTTCTTGGCCTGTTGGCCCTTGAGGCTCAGGTACTTCTGGAGCGTAGGTGCGTCCCAGCTAGTGTAGGGAGAAACAGTCTTGTCGTTCCAGTTGGCCTTGACGGTGGATTGGAGGCTCTTGCGGTCAGAAGGGCTGGGGTGGGGAATGCCGTGGTCACTGAGCCAACGCTCAAGCTCCGTCTCATGCCATTTGTCGTAGACTGCTCACTCACGTCAGTATGCTGCTGGAGAGGGTGTTTGTAGGAAAAGAGAAAAGCGAATGGGCTCTGTACTGTACGCACCAGCACTTCCAAACCAGCTGTTGGCCGATGCCGAAGCAGCAAGCGTCACTACGAGAGTAGATGCAAACGAGAACCTCATCTTGTCGGGAGGGCGATGTGATGATTATGCTAGTCTCTGGTGATGGAGCAGAGATGGGGAGGGTCGGGTATCAAGCAAAGGGCAAGTAAATAGTGTAAGAGAGGATGGTCCAAGGGCTGTTTATGAGGGGAGGAGGCACAGGCAATGGGCGGCCACAAGGCGTGCGTGCGAGTGACGTAGGACTTCACGTTGGGAGCTCGGACAAACAAGATCTCCAATGCGCCTGCCTCCGCTCTGTTGCATGTGTAGCCAATGAGAAGGCGCGACCAGCAGCCGCCTGCTATGTGTACGCAACTGTGAGAGCGCAATTGTGACGCCGTCTGGGCCCTGCGAACATGTGCAAGCTGCCATCCACACGCCTCCGAGGCATCCCGCGCATTTTATCTTGTCCTTGGGCTTCTTGCTTCTCAGGCCTGCCATTCTGACGTCTCCCACCCCGGCCTGGGGCTGCAATGGGCGTGGTGGGTCGCCATGGCATTTCCAAATTTCCCATCGCGATGGTTGCGGGGCCCATGTCGTGAGCGTGTTCAGCCCTTGACGTCATCATCCAAACATGCACAAAACTTATCAAGCACAATGATGCTGGCAAGCCTCAAAGACAAAGGTTGAGCATGCAATTGTACCATTTTACTTGCGTGTCACGCAATCTTCTTGGCCATTCCAGTCGTAGCTAATCATACATCTCTCCCATCACCATCACTCAGCTCGTGTTTACCCCCGGACGCCCTCCGAATCGCCGCGTCCACCTTCACCTGTGTACTTGTTAGCAATGCATTCAATGCAATGGGACATGGGACACGTGCCTTTCCAGAAGCTAACCGGCACCTTGTCCTTTTCAGCCTCCTCGTTGCTGACCCGTTCATGCGCCTGCTCCGCCCGGTTACTCATGTCCTCGTTGTGCTGCCTGACTTCCTCGCTCTCATTTCCAGCCGCAGGAGGGTTTTCGTTCAGTATCTTGGGTTTCGCACCTTTGACTTCGCTGGCGTCGGGCTCGTTGTGCTGACCCTGCTCAACGGCTGGCTCCTTGCTGTCTTGCATCCTGCGTGACCATGTCGAGAACTTGCGCTGGCCTGAAGATCCCTTGCTCGATGATGGAGCTGGAGACTGTGAGGTAGGCTGGGGGGAGTCGTTTTGGCCCGCGTTGCTGTCCTTGTTTGGCGACGACGAAGACTTGCCCTTGGCAACGCTTGGAGGCTCGGGGCCAGGGTGCTCGAGATTCTCGCTGGGATTCTCGCCCTGCTTCTGAGGTGCTTCTCCAGCTGGGTTTCCCTGGCCAGAACCGTAGTCCTGAGTTGCAAACCGGACCTGTACGCGAGCTCGAGGAGCCGCTGAGAGCGCTGCAGGACGCAGTGCTGTCGAACGCAGCATTGACATGGGGCGCAAGTAACTCATGATTGTGGTGTTTGTGAAACTTCAATTGACAATGAATTTGTGTGTATATGTTAGGAAAAGGTGACTGAGGCTCGTAGAGGTCTGGAGTGATACTCGTCCTAGCTCTCCTTTTGACGTCATGGTTTTCTAAGATCCGCATTCATGCGTACATGCAGGACGTCACACCAATGCACGCTCGCAAAGCTGCATTGACAGTTGCTTTTGCTCTGAAGGATTTAGCCAAACGTGATGGATGGATGCGCTGTTGTTATGCACTTACATTATTCCGTTATCCACTCTTCTGTATCATCCCTGCCAATGAATCCATCACAAACATCTGGACAATGGCAGAGAGCGGGTCTGAAGAAGAATAGGTTCACATCCAGATACTTATCACTATTCCCATTTTCTCAAAAGACAAAGTTACCCAATCCATCTCATTCCATTGAGTCTAAAATACCTCTTCACTAACCCCAACCATCCTCCTTTACCCTACAAACCAAAATCTTAAGACAACAGCTTTAAACAAACACACATATCCCTAACACCCCCCCACCTCTACTCCGCCATCCCCCTTCCTACCACCCCCCTCCCACTCCCTCCCAAAAAACCCCCTAACCCACCTCTCCCTCCGCCTCCAAACCTCCCACCCCTCCCTCTCCCACCGCTCCGTTGGCGTCTCGGACCACGCCCTCATCTCCTCCACCTGGCGCTCCCAACCCGCCGCCTCTGCATCCGTCACATCCCTGCCCCTGCGATAAATCTGCTTCAGGATGTCGTAGTAGGTTTCAAAGTCGGACTGTATGGCGTCGAGGTTGGACGCGGCGGTGCTGCTGGAGGAGGCGATGAAGCCGGTGGAGGAAGGGGGGCGCAGGAGGGCGCAGGAGGGACCGCAGGTACCAGGTATGTTGGATGTAGAGGAGGGGGAAGGGGAGCAGGTTAAGCAGTAGAAGCTGGAGTTTTGAATGAGGTTGTGGAGGTGGAGGCGCGCGTTTAGAGAGGATTTTATGGTGAGGAGGTTGTGGAAGAGGGTTTGGATTCGGTGGTACATTGCGCGGTCGGCGACCGCGTCTCGTGGCATGGTTGGGACTTGGTGTTGGTAAGATTGATTTTTTTTGGATTTCTTTTCTGTAGAGGAGTGAGGAGAAAGTGAGGGTGGAGTCGAAGAGATGGTAGTAGTGGTGATTGCACATGTGCTGTGAAGATGCAGTGAGAAGAGATAGTGTGGTGAACAATGGTATGGTCGTTCCTATACAGTGACTATGAAATGAGTGAAGAATGGGGAAAACAAACACTATGCTAAGGATGGGGGGGGGTTGTATGCTAGAAATAGGTCTAAGAAGAATAGAGTTAACATCAGAGTAAGACAAACACTCATACAATCCTAACTGCATCCCAATCATCAGTTCACCTTGGTCGACACCTCAAACCCCTTGTCTTCTCCTAATGAATGCTCTATTCCTTACCTTTGTACTGGTAAACCTCCTCAGACGATTCATTCAGGTGCTCTACAAACCGTGAAGGGCGACTAACAGTCACCGTCATATTACGAGGCGTCCTCGAAACTGTCATGTAAGTCTCGAAGAGCTCCACCCTACGAACATCCGATGAGCGGGCACCTTCCGGAACCTGGCTACTCGTATAGTCTCCCGTAGTTGCTAGGCCAGTGAATTCAGAGGACGGCTGATCGGAAATCTGTCCAAAGCTAAAGCGGCGTTCAGAAGGCATATCTTCATCTCGACCGTCTACCGAAGCATGATCTGAGTTCAAAGTGGAAACAGACGTTTTAGAAGCATGGCTATCATGCCTCTTCTTCATGCTAGGCCTTTTGATAGCACCGCGGCGTATCAAACCACCTGGATTATCTTGGAGTACGCTCTCAATAGACGGAAATTGTGGCTTGGCCAAGTTGCCCTTGATTTGGATGTCTTCTGGGTGTGTGTCTAAATCTACCGGAGATCCCGTATTCACATAAAACTCCGGCGTCAGAATTACGGGGTGTCCGCACTGATCCTTCGCAAGCTGGTTGTTTTGCATATCCATGGTGTATTTTCTGTTCGTTTTCTTGAAGTATTCACAGTGCTTCTGTTCTTTCTGTTTGCTTTATTTTGGTTTTCATTTCGATTCAAAGGAGGTTTCCTTTAATAGGAAAGATCCAAGATGTAACAGCATGTATTGTGCGACAAATGTCATTGAACCGTCCACATTGTTTGTGCAGGCAAGACATTATGAGGCCATGGAACCCCCGGGAAATGTGCGGTAACACCGCTATCAGTGTGTAAATCCTGTCAGATGCCATGTATTTGGAAGGTCGGGGGAAAGACTGTGACTGTTGCCGGGCGCCTGTCCAGATCCAGTCAGTGAGATTTCCGGCTCTTCTATCGTCCTCAGAGCGCTCACCTTAACCATCTACCTCTTTTCTCCTGTTCATCTCCCTCTCTAAGTCCTTCACATTCATAGGAATCTTACTTCCTCCCCACTTCTTCTTTTCTTCCTGCGCAAATCCCTCCAAACTCAGCATGCCCACACACAAAAACCCCAGCACCTCTCTATCTGTATCGAATACTTCCCACCACTCACACTCTGGCATCTTGATTCCTGTCTCTCTTGCAGCCAGGTAAATCGCTGCCGTAGCCAGCGCTGGCGGCTGGTGCGTCAAATATAGACATTGTGGGCTTAGCAGAGCAGTATTGAGGTGTGCGATTGCGCGTTTGGCGAGCTCTGACGCACGAGGATGCGCAAAGGTATCGAGGGCTTGTAGGTATGTTATGCAGAGTGTGTAGGGGAGCTGGACCTGCACATTGAAGCCAAGGGTGCGCAGGATGCGTTGTTCGATGGAGAAGAGGGATGCGCGACGGCGCTCGTATGTGCCTTCTGTGACAAAATACTCCAGTGGATCTTGTTTTTGGTGGAGTTGCTCTACGTCGAAGAAAGTCGTGGGAAGCGAGTCGAGGTATGCGTATACATTAACCAGACTCCGTGCAGATTTGGGGTATGAAGACAGCTTGGTAGTCAGGTAAAGAGAAGCTGCTGAGACTTGCTCTGCGCCAAACTCCGCAAGACTTCCACCTTCTGGCCCAAGCCAGAATCGCATAAACACCACAATCGCTTGCGCAATAACTTCTTGCGGTAGTCTCAACAGTATTCCCGCGGCTTGTGTAAGCCTTGCGCCGGTGAAGCGTATCGAGTCTTCGAGATCGGGTGGAATGCCATCGAGTTGTGAGCCGGAGGTCTCGAGCTGGGCTATAGTAGCCAATGGGTTCGCAAGAGGGGAGGGTTGCATTATGTAGGAGCTGGTGTAAGCTTACTTCGCTCGTGGTAAGCTGTTGTAGTTGGAGGTATTGGGTATGCAGCTATTGAGCTATCGGACCTCCGGTGGGTGAGCCTCGGTGCGCTAGACTTCATCCTATCTAGTAGACGTAGTTCACCCCACACAACCTCGTAAGGTGGAACGATGCATCGAGATAATTAAAAGATGTAAGAGATCATGCATGATCTCGCTGGTGACGGGAGACAGTGCGTTGCGAGTAATACATTTATGTTCAGACTTTACAGCCAACCAATAAAAAGCCGTCTCCTTAGCTCAATTGGGAGAGCGCCAGACTGAAGTCTTCGGTCATTAAATCTGGAGGTATCGTGTTCGATCCACGAAGGGGACAACGTGCTTGAGCTTGCTCAAGATTCTTCGAACCAATCTTTTTGTCATCCTGGCAATCATATAGGGCTGACAGCCAAGACATTGCCGTTCTGCTTATCGTCGGTGCATGTCGGTTGTTGGGCAGCAATGTCTAGTTCCCTTTTTTTTTTAAAAAAAAAATTCGCGCATATGCTAGCTAGCCAGATGACGTTTTACTGCACCGTGGATGGCTGGGAATTCCGAGTAAAGTAGAAAGATAAAATTGAATATTCTTTTGGAGCAATCTCTCAAAAAGATCCAAGAAAACTACGTAGCTAATATGCATTATTAACGAAGACATAAGTGGGTATCTTGCCGGCTAAATGCGATCCAAAACCTCTACAACAATAATTGTACATGCAAAATCCCACCCGTGCGAAAATAAAAATGGACAAACCAGAACTCATGAATCCAAAACGCCGTAAGTGTACAACCCATTTTTTCCTTTTAATCAATACCAATCATGGTGCCATCGCACCTCCAATCATCGACCTCGACGTTTTCGGCGGCGGTAACGGTCGCCTCGGGGTCGATTTGAACATGGTTGAGCCATGTTCCTACGCGGTTTGCACCGACTTTCTTTCCATCTTTTGAGAGTCCAGCCATTACTGAAGAAGTGACAACGGCGGGGGGAGCAGAGCGTGAGGGGGTAGGTGCCGAGACGCGGCGAGTGCTAGAGAAAATCGAACTTCTAGGGGTCGATTGGCGGGGAGTAGATAGGCGAGCAGCAGTGCGGACAGCAGAGTTGGGCACGGAGCGGATGGCATAGGAATCGTTCATGTGGTGGCCGCCAGCGTTACCAACACCATAAATCTGAACCTCGGGTTCTGTGCGTCGTGCTGATGATACGGTCGGGGTAGGGAGATGAAGCGAGTTGCGAAGCTGTCCGGATAGAACTCGTTCGGCACGGTCGTAGTCGCGTTCTCGTTCAGGGCGCTCACGGGGGCGGATACTTGGGCGGCGTCCCAGTGGTGGGGTGGCTTCGGCGATTTCAATAACCTCAACGTCAGGGTAACGGGGATTTGCATATGGCACGCGCATATCGTTCAGGCGATCATCGTCCGGGATGTGTTGGTAGTTGAACCAAGGGCAGTTACAGGTCTTCCATGGAGCAGCACAGACCATGCAGAATTGAGCAGTGCAACGACTGTTGGATGGTTAGATGTTTTTTTGTTGTTGTTGTTGTTGTTGTGACGAGGGTTGGATGCTCTGAACTTACCAGGTCATGTGATTGCAACCTTCCTTGAGCTCCACTACAGCCTTGCAGCTGTAGCATCGTTGCCAGCCCTGCTCCTTGGCCATCTCAACCAAACGATTAGTCTCTTCGTCCTTGGGGCATTCGCGCTTGGTGTGAAATTTGCTGTTGCATAGTACGCAGACCTTTGTGTTGCATGTGCTGCATCGTGCATACTTGCGACCGTATGTTGGATCCATCTTGACCTTGGATGGCTTGATCCATTGGCCACATCCCTTTGTGGGGCAGTACAGGCGGTTGCTGGTGGTGTACTCTTGGAACTTTTTGTTCCATAGTACCTTGAACTTGTCGTCGAATAGTCGGTCGGCATACTTCAAGGGAATGTGCTCTGATGTGCAGCATCGTGGCGGCATGTGCTGGGGATCCTTGACAGAGAGGGTGAATTGTCGCTTCAGGCAGGAGTAGCACATGCGGTGCCCACAAGCAAGCTTGACAGTCTTGTGGATAGGAATGTCATCGTTCATGCATACCAAGCAGTCGGCTCTGAGAGGCAAGTTAGTACATTGGAAGCGCGTTGAATGGTATTGACGACTAACCGTTGGACTTCTCGGGCTTCGCGGTGGTCACGGTGTTCTTTGTGCGCCGACGTGGAGGTGTTGCGCGACAGTGAGGGCTTGAAGAAGCTTGACAGGATTCCCCCGGTACTGCGACGGGCAGCCTCCTTGACGGACTGCGTCCTGGTAAGCGGTGTGGGTGGAGCAGGCGACTTTGCAGTGCTTGTGCGTCGCACAGACGGCCTTGCTGGTGTAGTAGATGCTTTTGGTTCACGAACAGATGCGCTCCTGCTTTCTCATTAGTGGGAGCTACGTGTACAAGTGGGGACAGATGCTGACCTGGACAAATTTGGGACCTCAGCCCTGCGAACGGACGCGGATCCAGAACCGGACACGGGCGTGTAAGCTGTTCTGTTCGAAGACCCTCCCTCCTCACTTCTTTTGCGGACAGACGGGCGTCGCACCGTGACCTCGTCGACGTGGCCCATGGACTTTGGGCGGCCAAAGACAAAGTCCTCGTCCTCGGGGATGACATTTCTCTTTTTCGAGGACCGCCGCGTCGTGTCCCGACGGACCTCTTTGCTGCTGCGCGACTTGTCTTTGACGGGCTCTCTCCTGCTGTCGTGAGAGGCACGATCCCGCTCGCGGTCGCGGTCGCGGCGGCGCTCTGTCTCGTTGCGCGTGTAGTACGACTCTCTCCGGGCCCTCAATTCCTCAATGTCGACGTCTGCCTGTCTCCGGGCCTCTTCAGCGCGGCGGCGCTCTCTCCTCTCTCTGTCGCGGGCAGACATGGGCGGTTCGTCGTCGTGCTTTGCGTCTTTTTGTCGGCGGCGATGCTTGCGGTCCCGGTCGTCCAAATATTCGCCATCGTCGCGGTACCGTGTGCTTCGCTCATCGCGAAGCCTGGCCATTCCCATTCCCATGGACCTGGAGGCAGCTATGCCACTTGCCAACTGCCAGCCTCGCAGGTCACAGGCTCTTGCACGCTTTGGCAGGCTCTGTTGCAGGTGTTTAGGCGGCGCACAAAAGCCAGCGCGGGTGTGTGGAGAGTTGCGGTGGGCGTGACGAGCGAACAGCAAGCACCTGCAGGCAGCCCAACCCTGATCAGAGAAAGTGGCCAGTCGCACGGGGCAGGCCGCCGGCGGTGAGCGCGCACAGGGTGCCGGTTGATCTCGAGCGCCCACAGGGCTTTTTGCTCGCTAACCCTCTACCGGTTGCAGGGGGTGGCGTCAGCGTCAGGCGGCGACGGGATGCAGATGGGTTGCCAGCTGGCGGGCAGTGGGTGCACATGTGCAGCGCTGCAGACGAGGTGGCCTACGGTGCGCCGCCCTGTGGTTGTGTATGCGCCATGCCTGTCTGCCTACCGCGTGTCGCTGTATGTACCTACGCCCTAGCACCGCCTTGGTATGCCCGAGCGGCGGGCAGACAACCGCCTCGGGCCCTCTTGCAACGGCCGCATCCCAAGGACATGGCTGGCAGAAACAAAGGCGGTGCAGCCCCGTATGTACTATGATGCCCTCGACTGCCGCCCCGCGCTCAGCTTTTTTCGGGGCTGCGAGACGGGCGCTGCAAAACGACGTAGTCGGTCTGGTCGCGAGTATTCCGTAGCGTAAGTACACTTGCACTGGACATCTGCATCCCCCGAATGGCGGGGCGGCGGGCGACTACGGGCTGCCGGCTGCGGCCGACTTACTGCTACCAGCTACTACATACACTCTGCAGGCGGGCACACATGTGACTCGCCACAGGGGCGCCGATGAAATTGTATTGCGCATCCTAAGCGTGATGCAATGCCGCCCAGCACCCATTCAGTCCTTTTCCAGAGTAATTTGGGTCGACACCTCCCATTTCTGCCCGCCGCTCCCGTACCCGCCGCCCAACCGGTTCCGCACCAGGCTGCCCACACGGTCCCGAAGACGCCCAATCTCCTCCATATTCCTGACGCGCACTTTCAGGTTGGCCTGGCACAACCCGTAATGCACCTGCCAGAATTTTGCCTCCTCCACCCTCCCGATCGCACGATCCGCCTCGAGCTCGTGCACCACTTCCGACACCCCCGGTCCCGAGTAGGACATGAGCAGCATCTTGCCCAGCGTCCATCCCTGGATCCACCCTAGTGCTACCATGGAAAACGCAACCGAAAAGGAAAGTGTCCGGTCCAGCCACACGTACATTTGTATGCTCAACAGGGGCAGGATGAGTAGCAGCGACGAGCACGACAGCGTCAAAAAGTGCGACGGGTTGCTGAGAACCGAGGGCAGATTAGCAATCGCCCCCAGCCTCATCACCTTCCCAATTCGGGCATGGTTCTTGAGCACAATGGCCGACACCAGTGTCGACACAATTCCGCTCAGCGCAGCAAGATCAATGCTGCCTGGTGAAACACGCTCATGGCTGTCCGCGTGATGTGCGTGGTGTCCGCCAGCGTCCTCGAGTGCATGCGTTAGCCCGTGAGAGATCAGGTCGAGTCCCATGAACAGTAGGCCAACCGACATGCCCAGCCCGGCGATAACTTCCAGCCGCTCAAAGCCAAATGGGTGACGGATGCTCGAGCGCTTCCACACTTCAAAATTTGCCCCGACATCGACAGCCACGCACAAAAATGCGCCTAGTGCATCGTAGAATATCAGGCGCGACAGAACCGTCAGTGCCAGGGACTCGTGTGCACCCCATTGGACCAGCCCAGCTACGACCAAGTGACAAAAGCACCATGCCAGTCGCAGCTTCTGGTCCTTGGACATGGACGACCGGTACTCTTTAAATGTCGGAATGGGCAGCGAGGCGGGGAGCTGGAGCGGCGCGCGCGGGGCGGGTTCTAGAAATATCTGATGCGATACACTGCTGTGCTTGTACTTGTGTCCTCGTCTTCGTCCAATGTCCTGTGAATGTTAGTATAAGCTTTGCAGGCAGGGGTGGGAGCTGCACATTGCTTTTGGCCTGCGGCTGCCCTGGTTGGTACGTGACAGACTGGAAGTTGAATGGATTGGCGTTCTCTGATCCGCTCAACGAGGGCCCATCCGTGTCCATGGCCCCGCTGGCAGCGCTCGCGGGTGTGTAGGGAAAGGTTGCGCTTGCTGGTGTGTATAGCACGGCGGGCGATGCCCTCTGCGAAATGGAGTCGCCGGGCGCAAGCGTGGCATACTGCTTCGAGGGAAACGTCGCCGACATGGGCGACAGCAGCCCATTTGCGCTCGCGGCCAGCGTCCTGGAAGACAGATCACCCTCGAATCCTAGACCCACAGGCTGGGGCGCGTCCTCATCAGGAGGCGGCGTCGGGGTACGCGGTGGAGCTGGTAGAGGCAGCTTCGAAGCCATGACTACGGAAAACTCGGATTGCGGTAATGAGTGACTCTGCTAGGGAGAGCGCATGGCACGGAAAAATAAGATAAGAAGCGCAGTCAGACCCCAGAGGGGAGGTGGAGGGGAAATTGAGGGAGGGCTTCCACATGCAGCGCCGCATGGGGTTCATGGTCAGTGTACCCCTGCAGCCTATCCGTGCCCACCCACGGCCGCATGGCATGCAGGGAGGCGCTACGCCAGGTACAGTGTATGACGCGCTGCCGTTGAGCGCTGCTGACAGCCCAGACCTAGACATGACACTCTGACAGAGCCAGCACGGTGCCGTGCCCGCCAACGCTCGCACAGGACAGTTGCAAAGAAGAACAAAAGGAGGAAGCAGTCGGCATACAAACAGACAGAAAGACAATCAAACAAACAAACACGTGCGGAAACGAGCAGAGCAGATGGAAGACGGTGCGGATGCGCACAACGTAAAACCTGGCCAGGACAGCGCGTCTGGCCATAAACGCACCAAATCCGGGGGTATTCTGGGCGGATTTCTGAGGTCGTCTTCGTCGTCTTCGTCAAAGGGTCTTACAGGATCGTCGCCCTCAGCACCGACGGGCAGCGAGGGGACACATGGGCACGACGACCAAGGCGCCGTAAAGGGGTCATCCATGGCAAGGGCACTGCGCCAGACCCAGGGCGGCCGCCAGAGAAAAGGCTCGCTGCGAAAGGCGGCCATGGCCCGGATGCGCGAGCGAAGCAGTTCCCTACGAAAAACTGCCAAACCCTCCATTGTCACCAGTTTCGACAAGCCGCCGCTCAACTCGTCGCCCGCCGACACCACTGCCTGGGTGCCCGCCATCCATCTGCCCTCCTCCCCGACCGAGCCCACGTGTGTGTCACGTGACGTTCCAGAGCCGCCTTCCTCTCCGCCATTACTCGCATCGCCAATCGAGCCCATGGCGAGCCCTGCGGCGCCCTACGCCTCGACCACCGACGACGACGACGTCATGTCCTTTTACCGTCCTCTGGCCGCGAGTAGCGATTACTCTTCCTTCGCAGTGCCGAGCCAGGGCCCTGTCACCTCTCTCGCACACCGTCGCTCGACTCGCAGCAACCGGCGCACGTCGATTACTGCGCTCGTGACACCTGCCGAGCTTGACTCGGACGACGAGTGGGATTACAGTGAGACCGAATGGTGGGGCTGGGTTGTGCTAATAGCGACGTGGATAGTCTTTGTTGTAGGAATGGGCTCCTGCCTCGGCGTATGGAGTTGGGCGTGGGACGTGGGCGAGACACCATATGCACCACCCGATCTGGAAGACGACGCAACCCTGCCCATCACTGGCTACTATCCCGCCTTGATTGTCTGTACGGCTGTGACCAGCTGGGTGTGGGTCGTCGTCGCCTGGGTGGGCATGAAGTATTTCCGCCACGCCAAAGTCGGCGTAGACGGTTAGCAAGCCAAGCAGGGCACGCAAACAACAATTTCTATCATCTAAACATTGCATGAACGCAACCAGGCCGCTGGGATTGACCATCTCCATTATAGGCTCTTCGCTTAACCGTTCTGCTGCATGCCTAAATATGTTCTTGGGGCTGAAACACTAACCTATACCACGGCTATTAAGCCACACCTCACACACATGCGTTACCTGGCCCTGTCCTTGGCTTGCTACACACCGACAAGGACTGCAGAGTTTGTTTTGTCCTCGTGCTCTGTCCATCTCTATCTCTTTCTTTTTGCTGCTTACCCAAATGTAGACAAGCTTCCAAAGTCCCCCGCGTGTCAGTCAGAGGGGGTTTAGTAGATGATCGATCGTAATCAAAAAGAGGCGCCGAGATGCTCCATCGGTGTTGCATCTCACTCCGCGATTCATTGGCCTTGAGCTCAATTTCCGCAAATGGATCCCTCCCCACTTGCGTGATTGACCCCATAACTCGGGACAAAGGCCCTACTGAACATGGTGCGAACACCTCCAGACATTACATCAGCCTGGAACTTCCGATCCTTCAGCGCTGGAGCCAGGGTCCCACGCGCTCGCCGAATTGAGAAGATGTAAGATGAAGGCAATTTCCCTCTCCGGAGATTCTCTTAAAGAAATATTCTCGCCAACTATGCGGCTGATGCAGACAGATTGTTCATGCAACTGGGTTGTAATCATCATGGCATTAGGAAGACGTCAACGAGGGAGCTCCAAGCTCGAGGAGCTGCTACCAACTCTCCTGACAGTCAAGGGCCACCACGAGTTCAAACTCGTTACTGCTAGCGGCAAGACCGCCGTCAAACCAGAATCGACTGAGAAAACATTATGCGCTCCACGACCAAAGTTTACTACACCATCCCACAGACAGCAGCCTCCTCCGACAAACCCACATGGGTGCCCTCGCAGAAACCACACCGGACCGTTCCGCTTCCTGGAGCTTCCTCAAGAAATCAGAGACGAAATCTACTCGTACCTAGTCGTCCGCCAAACTCCCCACTCACCCCCCATCCTCGACGCAACCACGATTCTCAAAAACCGCAAGAAACGCCTCGCAGCACGCAAAACCAGGGAACGCCTCAACCAGCAACGCCTCTTGGAAGGAAAACGCCCAACATGTCCACACTCAACATCAACATCAACAAATCATCCGGATCCCATCTTACACGTCGACCTCCTCCGGACCTCGCAAAAGCTGGCGGATGAAGCCACAGACTGCATGTACTCGAAAAACGTCTTTGCAATCTCCCTCGACAAACTGCCCCTCACATCCTTCGACGCACCCCCCGGTTGGGACCTCTCCCGCATCAAACGCCTCCAAATCGAACTCCAACTCAAAGACGCCATCCGCATGAACCGCTACGTCGACTGGTCCTCCTTCTTCTCTTCCTTCCCCTCACTCCAGTTCCTGCGCCTCGTCCCCACGCTGCATCCCCGCTACTACGAGTGGTCGCGCTGCGAGTTTACCGAGTGGGCCAGCAAGGAAACGCCGTTTGTGCACAAGGCTTTCTTTCGCGAGTTGCTCGTCGCTATCCCCAGTTATGTCGATTTGAAAATCGGGCTGCCCAGGGATCTGCTTGCGCCTGCTGGTGGTGGTGGTGCCGTGCACGAGGTCCAGGTCCAAGGCAAATTGGGCATTGATGACAAGTTTCTGTGGGATATGTATCTCGAGTTGGGCAATAGGCTGGGTGTCACGGGTAAGCCGCTTGCGGTGAGTAGAGTCGTGTGTTGATTTTCATCTGAGGGATCTTTTTAACGGTCGGGTTCAAATCTTTTTTTTTGCATATGTTTTATGGTGTTTTTTTTTTGTTTTCAAGTCATGTCGGGTTTTTTTGTCTTGCATTGTTTAGCGATTTGGATTTCTCGGTCTATTTCTCTTCCTCTCCGTCTCTATCTCTCTCTCTCTATCTTTGTCTCTATCTCTGCCTCAAAAAGCAAGTGGCGGGCCCCCCCCCCCTCAGGTGTGTAAACTGGCCGGCCGCATAATCCCAAAAAAGCGGCTTTACGATTTCGAGCATACGGTCTTGCGGCTTCAGTCCGCTCCTTTTTTTTTCCTCTCCATTCTCCTATCTTTCCATGTTTCGAAAAAAAACCTATAGAATAGATTTTTTTTATTTCGGTTTACGACTGTCACAACTACATCATTTTCGTCATATGTTACACGGTCTTTAATTGCGCGAATATAACACTTTGTAAGTAGTATAATTTTTAAATGAAATACTGAACAACATTGGTGGAAATGCTTTTCTTCCGGCGGGTGATATATGTCGTTGTTTTTGTCTCGTCTAAAAATAAACATGGAAGCGGAAGCGAAGGGAAGGAAGAGACAAGGATAAGTTATGACCTTGTTCCCCTTTATTCGATAATACGGCATGTTATAAGTCTCGTACTTACATGGTAACGGAGCACGTGACACAACTTCGTATTCGTATACTCGAGAAGAAGAAGAAAGCGAACACGGCAGACTACTATTTTGGAAGAGAAATGGCCAGTTTCGTGATACGAGGAACACACTTGTAATAAGAACCAAAAATGGTGAATGATTTCAAATTCGCTAAAATCGCATTGAGGATTGTGGCGAGTAGTAAGATTGTGGAAGAAACAAACAAAAAAACGCCAAAAGTGCGGGACCAAACGTCCTTTGGACTGGTCGCTGGCACTATGCTATACACCTTTCCCCCCAATTTTTCTATATATTACACAAGAAGCAGAAAATGCAGCACACCATCGTCCCTACATGGACATGTTTATTTTTCTTTTTCTTTTTGCCAGACAAGGAGGGGAACAACGCCACCATAACCTCTCAGCTGGTGTCATTACTCGCGCTTAGATGGCCCTTGTTGTGATGATCCTTGGCCTCTGTACGGGTTATTAGACCCAGCACCCCATAGCCTCTCGCCCTCGTCCTCCTCTACTTGGGGTGCACGCGGTCGGCTCCGTGAGCGAGGCGGTGGCACCATGGTTTGATACGAAAACTCTTCTACCTGGCCCGTCGAGATTGAGCTGGGTGAGCCGGGCGCTGTGCTACGAGGAGGCCTGGTTGAAGGTGCTGATGGCGGTGGTGCGAATGAGCTCTGGCTGGTAGACGGTACTACTTGGAGTGGCAGAGGTGGTGGTGGGTTCTGACGGGTACTGTCTACCGAGAGGCGTGAACCGTATGGAGACAAGGTTGCACCACCCTTGCGTTTTCCAACAGAGCTAACCTTACGCAGCAAACCACGGACTTCATCAATGTCTGGCCTCTGGTCCATGCTTGGGCGACCGATGGTGCTAGCATCGTCGCCACGCGCCTCCCAAGTGTCATCTCGGACTGCGTCATGGCCGGGCCTGCGGTTGTTGAGTGCAGAAATGGCGTGGCTTTCACCACCAACACCAAGGTAATCAACTCCTGTAGACGCAGCAGTATTCTCATCCTTGGGTGGGTTGAGAGGGTGCATACGGCTTGCGTCAGCGCTTTCCTTGTACTTTTTGTACGCAGCAACAGCTTCAGCCGGAGGAACTGCAACAGACCAAGTGGGTTTATCCTGAGAACCAAGACTAGCATCTCCGCCACCCGGACCATGGATGGGAACTTTGCGGAGAGCAACGACCAATGCGCACATGAACTTGGACCGGCGAGCGGCACGAAGCGATTCGTTGGACCAGTTGCTCTTGTGTCTGATTTCGACGAGAAGCTCCAACTTGTTCATTTCAGCAATGCTGACAACCTCAACATCGATATCAGGGTGGAATTCACGAGCGTTAGCTGGTTCCCGAACGAATTTGAGCATTTCCGACTTGAGCAGGTTGATATCCTCAAAGGATGTGGAAAAGTCGCAGAAGACAGAGACCTGTTCTCGCATAGCCTTGCTTCGGGTGATGTTCTCCACCCACAATCCGTTAAGAACGATGTTGGGGATCTGGACGGTTTTGCCGTTGCTAACACGCTTGAAGACCGTGTAGAGCAGCTGAATGTGTTCGACAGTCAGCTCTGTTGCAGTGATATCAACACGATCGCCAATGTCATACGGGTGCTTAACGAAAAGGAAAATGCAGGAACCGAGAACTTCCTGAGCGGTAGCGGCGAACACGAAAGACAGGGAAAGAAGAGCAGTAGCCGACGTAGCTAGAGTAGCGCGGAAACCTGGGGCAAGGAAGGCGATGATGACGAAGAGACAGACGATTAGGGCAATGGTCATGACAAGGCCATCCAGGGCGTTGATTGCCTGGTCAACGTCGTGCATGCTGGAGTTGATAGACTTGCGTTGCCTAGCGAAGTCGGTCACAGTAAGGATCATCTCCTCCAAACTAATGTCGCCGTTTCCGTCGCGGTCAATTGAAGCGAAACATTCCTCTGCTTCTTCCTGACGATTAGGTCCCATGACTTCGATAAGGTCCTCTAGGTAAAGCTCGTTCTTGCCTTCGACAACCAAAGACATCCAGATACGCTTGGCAAGTGCCTCGGCACTCTTGTTCCTCTCGAGGGCGGTAATGACAATCGAGTGAGCTGAGTTGGTATCGAACACCTTCTTGCCAGTGATCTCTGAGGCAATAGTACCAAAGACTGAAGTGATCTTATCACCAATGCGGCCGGCATCTCGACCAACTTCCTGGATGAGGCGCAGAGGGGTGCGGCTGCCCGAGCGACCGTGCTTGAAGGTTCCCTTTTTACTGGATAGTCCGAGATCGAGAATTGTGTCCTGGATGATGTAGTCTTCCTCAGCAAATTCGTTGCAGTAAGCAGGGAACAGGCTTCGCGAAGTGTCGTAGAGTACACCAAGAAGATAGATGTTGCGCTTCGACTCCTTGATCTTATCGTCAAACTGCTTGCGGTGATAGCTGATACTGATGAGTTGGATGAAGACGCGTTCGCCGAAGATGATGATGGTGCAGACAAGGAGCGCAAGCAGAACCGACTGCATGGGGTCAATCCAAGATGGATACCTGTCACCCGTTCTGCCAGGGACGGGTCGAACGAGCTATGCAAAATTAGTCATGGCATTGTGTACTCATATAAAGATGAAACACTTACAGCGGGGAAGGTAGCTTGATTGACGACCATCCATAGGACGAACGACAAAGACTTTTCCACTGCTCTCAGCAGCTTGACGTACTTCTTGACACCGGGACTGACAACTCCAACCAAAAACTCAAAAATGTTAGGAATGAAGTGGGCAACAATCTTCATGACCCAGAAACTCAGCCAGATAATCTCAATCCAGATCCAGAACTTCTTCTGGTTTGTGCCGCTAATAGAACCTGTGATGGTACCAGTTTGCGAAAGAATAATGGGAATGGCCAATAGGAGCGCAACCGGTGCGACATAGACCATGTAGCGCGTGACAATACTCCAGTTGAGGATCTTGGTATAGAGCCTGCCCATGCGATTGAGAGCAGTCTTTTCTTCCTGATCGCGAGGAGGTATGGGCGCGCCTGTCCTCTCATCTATGGCGGCCAACTTTCTGCGTCCACGTGTGAACATGTTTGGCCTCTCGGCCTTTTCATTGTGGACATTGGAAGGCGAGTGCGAAGGCGTGTGGCTGACGACAGTCTCGAGAGGTATGTTTGTTGGGTGGTTGTCCATGGCGGCGTTGTTTATGGGCTGAAAGCCTTGACTGGAGAGTCGGAAAGACCTTGAGGATCGCTTACTTGTCATAGAGGAGGCTCGGTGGGGGTTAGTTGGAGCAAGTCCGTTTGCCGACAAGACGCGGGCAAGCCGTGAATATGAATGCGGGCTGCGTAATTGGGGGTACGGGGATGTACCCAGAGACGCCTGGCTTGTCAAGTATGTGCGTCAAGCAGCTTTGACTAGGCGAATTTGTGGAGCAGTGGATGCAGTGGAGAGATGAGGTAGGGACAGCAATTCGACGAAGGCCTGCCGTCAATCTCTGTGTATGGGAAAGAAGAAAAGGAAAAAAAAAGAAACAGGCGAACGAGTGAAAAAGCCTTGGAGGGCAAAACGACAGCGGCGAGGGGGGAGAAAAGAGCGAGCAAAGAAAGTCAGAAATAGCAAGGAGCAACTCTTGTGTTGGAGTCGAGGCGTTAGACTGACACCAGGCATGCAGGGATGGTCTAGCGGGAAAGCCACAGACTGGGATATGAAACCCCGCTAGCACTCGCCACAGCGAATCACGGAATAGGCCCATGGCCTCTGCTGGCCGCACAATATCCCGTTAGCCGTCGGTTTCATGGGCGGGACTGGGCAAACCTCGAGGCCGTTGCTTCATGACGAGCTGGCTGCTGTACGCGGTGCAATAGAGTTGCTTGCGGGCCCCTAGGCTGTGCCAGACAGGACGGCGGACCCGAGCAGCGGCCATCCCTGGCGTGGATCCATTCTGGCCAACGAGTTTGGGCGAACGCTGCTGCGTATCGATAGGCCTCAACAAGGCCACTACAGCCAGTACATGGACGCCTCCCTCCAGACCAGCGCACGCTACGCGCCACGGGCCATGCAGCTGTGATACGTGCCATCGGATGTCATTGCCGTGATATTACGGCGTCACTTGTAAGTACAGACCGTTCGAAAGAAAATCGCCCCACGCCATAGTCTTGCCCGGGTGAAACCTTGGTGCAGAGTAATCTAGCAGCGGCCATCATCTGCCACTGCTCTACTCATAGTCCAGCTCTTTGGCTCTAGTGGCAAGCGACGAGTCCAAGAAATTTTTTCCAAGATAGCTGGGCCGACGGTCATAGCCGACATTGCACTGTGCAGCTCGTATGTGCATCGACAAGTCCAGCGACCATCGAACTAAC